CTATATTACAACACAGAAAAGTTGTTTTTTGCATATATTTTTCAATGTAATAGCTTCATAAGTATTTGTCTATTTACCTATCATAGAATGAGATCTTTTTTTTGGTTGTTTCAAAATAAAGAATTCATTTATCTTATATGTTATAAGTATAATGAATATATAAAGTAATACTCCTACTTCACTATTTTCAATAAAAATAATTGCTTTCTTAATGCAATATTCACTGTTTACAAATCAATTACACTTGAGAAACAGTGAAGAGAAGAAGACGAAAAAAAAAAATAAGAAGTTTTTTATATATAATACGAAGGGGAGTGTTAAGACATTCTTTGAATCATAAAAACTACTTGTAGACAATATTTCCTGTCAAAATTAATTCCTTTTTTCAGATTATTCTAGTCTAGAAATTCTTTCTATATGATTAAAAATATGAGTTCTAAAATGGTGAATATCTTTAGACGATTATCTCGCCAATCACAATTAAAATAGAACTAAAAACAGTCTTCAATCTAAGAAAATTTCTTCATTGTCCAGAGCAAAAATCTACCAAAATATCTTCTATTATAAATAGAATATCCTTGAAGGATAGATAAGAATTTGCGCACGTATAATTATTCTTTTTTCATGTGATCGATAATAGATAAACATGAATATATTTACTTATATTTTACATTGATTACTTATTCTTTTCTTTTTTGATTTAAAGTACATCTATGTAAATTTTTCCATGCATTTCAAATAATGCCTTTGTTCTTGTTTTTTATTACGAAGAATAGTAACAACAATAGTCTTCTTATTCACAATAAAAGTCATTGTATTATATCAATATTTCAATTCCAATGAGATTTCGTTCAAAGCTCTTTTTTTCTTTTCTATATATATATATAAAGAAAAATAACGTAATTCAACCTTCTTACTATTTATATATCTAAACTAAAACTAGAAAATCTTCTCTTTTTGTTTCAAATAAAATTATGCTTTATTCAAAGATAAAAAATGATCCATTTGGGTACAAAACAAATTGGATTTTTACTTTTTCTTTTAAATTAGATGATTGATGTTGCTGAACCTACTCAACGAAAACTCTTATTACAAAAAGTTCGTCCACATATACAATCACTTCGTAAATTTACATATGGTAAACATATAATAACAAAACTTGAAAAATATTTAAGTAAAAATTCGGACTTGGGCCCATCATTGTTAACATCATCAACATCAAATACAAATGGTTTATCACATTATGACAATTAACATTATATTTTCTTTGATTTTTTTTTTCTCTCTCTCTCTCTCTCTCTCTCTCTATTATTCTATAGTTAGATGATTTGTTTGTTTCATTATTCAGTGTGGTTTTTTTTTCTTCGTGTTTCATAGTGTGACAGTGGTCGCTCTCAAACTCTGTTTTTGCTGTATATATCTATATATATATAATCATTTTGAAAACAGCATGGCTCAGGCGATGTGTATTAATCTTGCCAGCCGAATATTGTATTGATTATCATCATAAGAAATTCTTGTTATATTTTCATTTTTTGGTTGTTTGTTTGTTTTTGTTTGTTTGTTTGCTTGTTTGTTTTTGCTCAAAAAGGAAAAAAAAAGAAAATGGTTCATTATTGTGTACAGCTTATTGTTTATCATCTGTAATTGATTCGTTCATATTATAAATATCTATGTGTATGCTTTGTGTGTAATTCATATATTGTAAAGAAGTTTTTCTATGAGATGTAACACACTTCCTTCTAATGGAAAAAAAGAAAAAACAAAAGGAAATAAGTGAATTTATACTCGAACGGTGAAGAGAAAAAGAAAAACAATTTTTGGAAAAGTTCAGTGACCGTTGCGTGTACACTATTTTGTTTTTTTTTTCGGCTTTATATTAAATACTTGTTCTTCTTCTTTTTTTGTCTCAGGGAAATGTGTATAAATATCACACATTTCGCTATTATACACACATACGTTTGTTTTCTTTTTTGTCTCGTCTATATACGATGGGTCTTTTTTTTGTATCCAAGAACGATTTTGTTTTGGTTTTTTTTGTCGTTCTTTTCTTTTTTTTTGTCAAACTTAAATCTATTTAACTTGATCTGGTTCTTTATCTATGTAGTGAACGGCCTGAGTTTTCTTTGTCCTTTTGTTTTCTTTCATAAAGTCTCAGTTTTTGTTTCTTTTTCTTCCTTTTTTTTTCTTTTTTTTTGCTCTTTTTCTCTATTCATCTGTTCGCATCACCCAACTACATGTACTACTAACGAAAAATAAATAGACAGAAGAAAAAAAAAGCATTTTTCTTATGGTTTACAATTGATAGATAATAAACATATTATATATATATATAGAGAGGTAAATATTAATTTTGTTCGACAAGGCTTAAGTAATTCAATGTTTACTTAGTATTTCTTAGTTAATAGAATGCGAGCTGATGTCATGTCTAAAATGACTGTTGTTTTTTTTTTCCTTCTATTCATTAGCATAAGTGATGATTAAAGGATGTAGAAAAATGGCATTCGAGTAGATCGAGTGAGAAAAAAGCTTTTTTGCATATAACCGGATGCGTCATCATTATCTTTGCTGCTATCGATCTTCTGCGTCAATGCAAATAAAACTCATTCTTTTACTTCTCTAGATTTCTACGAATCATAAATCATGTTTTATCTTGACTGATAGTCAAATTTTGCAAGTTGATCGTGTGATATAGAATAAAACAACATGTATGCAGAACAATATCCACAAGTACAACAAGATCCACCACCATATCAAAATAATATGCAAGCTAATCGAGAATCACTCAATTATTATCGACCAGCAGAAGAACGTATGATTGATTTTCAAGAACTTGTTGCTCGTTATGAAAGTAAGTTTAATAAAAAAAAAAAAAAAACAATTAATTAAAAACAAAAATTCTATGTTTTCGCATTATTATTTAGTCAACCATACATTTGCGACAAAATTACGGGTACTTGAAGGTTATGAAATAGTATTTATCTGTGATGATTCAGGTTCAATGAATACTCCACTTGGTAATTTAATTTTTAACGTCTAATATATTTATTTAATTAAATTATCGTATATGATATTTTAGGCGATCTTTCTGGTCCTTTTGATAAACTGCCATCTCGATGTATGATTAAATAGGTCAATATTTGAAATATTAATTTCGTTATTATTCTAGGGGATGAATTAAAACAAACTGTATCAATTGTTGTTGATCTAGCTAGTGTTTTTGATCCAGATGGTGTTGATGTTTATTTTCTTAATCGTGAACCTGTTTTTAATGTTCGTAATTCACAACAATTGGTGCCTATCTTTGCTGTTCCACCATCTGGTATGTTTAATAATAATAGATGAATGTTTTTGTTATTGTTTCTCTTGTTCAATGAATTCTTTTGTTGTTGTTTTTTTTTTATCTAATAAGGTCCTACCCCGCTTGTTCCAGTTTTTCGACGTGTACTTCGGGATAAACAACATGAAATAGAAGAACGTAAATTATTGATACTTTTAGCAACTGATGGTGTACCAACAGATAATCAAGGTCATCGAGATATTCGTTCATTTGAATATGTTCTTAAACATGAACGTAATCCAACAAATCGTATTCCTGTAACAATTATTGCTTGTACAGGTATGGGATAAATAAAAATTGATCATTAATTTTGATAGAATTGTTTTTTTTTTCTTTTATTATTTCTTTATAATAGATGATGATGATTGTATTGGATATTTAAATGAGTGGGATAGGAAAATTCCTAATCTTGATGTTGTTGATGATTATAGAAATGAAAAAAAAGAAATTCAAGCACGTCAAGGAAAAAATTTTCCATTTAGTTTTGGTGATGTAAGTTATTTTATATTATTTCTATGAATGAACTTTTTTTTTTTTTTTTATTGAATATTTATCTTTTTTTTTTTATTAAGTATGTTGTTAAAATATTAATGGGTGGTGTAGATAGTTGGTTTGATGATTTAGATGAAAGAAAAGTTGCAACTGATGGTTATGGACGACCGAGTAAAGATTTTGGTCGTAAACAAAAAAAATTTCGATGTACAATTTTATAACAAGGTATTGACAAATAATTCTTCACAATGTAAACATTATAATCAATGTTTTTCAAGCGAAGTATTTTTCATCAGATAATATAATAAAATTGATTCTTCGAGAATGATTTATTTTCGATAGTGTTTTTCAATTAAGTGCTAAATTTTTTTTTTTTTTTTTGTTTTCAATAGAATTGTGTTATTACATTTGATCGATAGCATAACTTAAATATGCATATATATATATTATATAATTGTATAATTTTTCATTATAGATTCATCTATCACTTGATAATCATTATTTTGGTAATCATGTTGTTTTTTTTTTGTGCATGAATCGAATTTCTTCAACGAAATTTAATTGTGAATAATGTATATAATTTTATTTGAATCAATTTTTGTAAAAAGGTCCACCCTGATAAGACACTCATAGTATATCTGTAAACGAGAATATATTTATGACGTCTTTTTTTGTTTTTGTAATAATTATTTAAAATAAATTTTTTTTTAATATGAGCAGATCTAAAATATGGATCGCGCATGTTGCATTTTCTTGTCTTTTTCCTTTGCTGTGTATATATACTAAAGAAAGAAAAACCGAAATATAGCATAATTATTATATTTCTAATCAAGAAATTATTTTCTTTTCTTTTTTCTATTGCATTTTTAGTCTTCATGCTTTCATCATTATGCTGACGTCAAAATGAAGATAGTCATTGAAAGTTTGACGTCAATTATGATTCAACATATTATCATAATTTTTTTTTCTTTGTTGAGACACTGATAAAATATGAAGAGTTCTATATTTTTAGATTTTTTTTTGCGTTTTATTTTTCCGTTCGAACAAAAGGTTTTTTTCTGACGTCAGATACAGAAGAAAAAAACAAATAAGTAAGAGAAATAAAAAGAAAGCCGAACAAGTTTTTGAGATTTTCTTTATTGCTTAGAAGTGTTAGTAGTAATTAAATATGTATCCACAACAATTTCCTTCAAATGAATCTTCATCACCGCCACCATATTCAAGTATATCTGGTCATAATTCATTACAACAAAATGCTCCTGTTGATAGTGAAGAACGTTTAAGAAAATTTCAATATTTAGTCAATCGATATGAAATTAATCGAAATTTTGCAACAAGATTAAGAGCATTGGAAGGATATGAAATAGTATTTATTGTTGATGGTAAGTGTAAAATAATAAGAAATATTATAATATATCTAACTATTTCAAGCTTTATTTATCTAAAGAATAAGATAAATAAAAGAAATTTTTCAATACAATAAATTTTTGTTTTGTTTTTTTTTCCAGAATAATTTTCTATTCGATTATATCCTCATGAGAATATGAACTATATAGATTTATATATCGTGACAGAGAATAATAGTACAAAGAGAAACTTTTTTGGTTATTATATCCATCTAGCTAATAAAATTTCATTACTGATTTATATCTGTTGTTTGTTATAAATGATACATAACTAAAATTATATTTGCGACTGAAGAAAACGATAGATTTTAGATTGTAAATAAAAAGAAAAGTTTTTCTAAAAAAAAAAAAACAAAACTTTGATGCTATCAGATTAAAAACATACTATAAAAGCAACTTTTCGACAGGTATGCACTTACCCTTTTTCTTGACTTTTGGATTGTTATAGATTCAAATTTACACTAGAGTAAGATATGTATTTATAATTAAGACAACAAATCTCACGATGATGAAGTTTGTTTCTGAAAAGAGTTATTACTAATGCACTCAACGACATTCTTTTTTTAGATTCACTAAACAAACATAGTTTTTATAGCTTTGACAACAAATAAAGAAGATCTACAGATATCAAACTATAGCTTAGCTTTTAGTGATATAGTAATGTTCACAATCTGATAAAAGACAATAACAACTTTTTTGTTTTGCACACACAAAAAAATAAAGAAAATCCTTGATGTCGACTGATCACTATAATTTATTTTTTCCATTGTTAAAAACAAATGACATCTAACGATGTAGAATATGTGAAAACTTAATTGACGAATTGTCATTCAGTGGCATGTCCAATGACTGAGAAATAGAAATTTTTTCATAGTTTCATGACTGCTACAATAAAAAAAAAATGTACAATATCTACGATAGTTGTATTTGAGTATGAAAACGGTTGCAGAAAAAGTAAGACTTTAACTTCTCGGAATGCCAAAACATTGAGAAAACTGAATGTACTTAAACATCTCTTACCTTTTTGCATACAATAAAATATTTTCATCTTGCTGTCGAGAAATCTCAAAATAAACTTTTTTCGACATTTTTTTCTTTTAGATTCCGGATCGATGAATACACCGTTAGGTAAAATTTTTGTTTTTCTTTTTTGCATTTCAATAAATATTTTAATCATATAAGGTGATATCACTGGTCCATATGATCGTAATCCAACACGATGGGATGAACTTCGACAAACAGTTTCAATTGTAGTTGATATTGCTTCTGTGTACGAGTTTTCTTCATTTATACATCATATGTATATATATATATATATTCTTTTATTTTTGTTTGTATAATCAAGTTTTGATCCAGATGGAATTGGTAAGTAAAAAGAAAAATCCAAATGATTCTATGAGAAACTTTTTTTATTTTTTGTCTTCTCAGATATTTTCTTTCTAAATCGTGAACCAATGCGTCATGTGAAAAGTTCTGAAGAATTAGTTCATATATTTGCTGTCCAACCAGAAGGTATAGAATTTCAAAAATATTTATTTTATATATGTATATATTTATATAATATAAAATAGGTCCAACACCAATTCTTCGTGTACTTCGACATATTCTACAAGAAAAACAACTTGAAATACAAGAACGTAAATTATTAATTTTAATTGCTACTGATGGTGTACCAACAAATGAAAATGGACAACAAGATATAAAATCCTTAGAACATGCACTTCGTCATGAACGAAATCCCATTAATCGTATTCCAGTAACAATTATTGCCTGTACAGATGATAATGAATGTATTGGGTAAGATAATTCTATAAATAATTGTTTTTTTTTTCCTATTTCGCAATTTTTTTTCTTGTTTAGATATCTAAATAATTGGGATAAAAAAATACCAAATCTTGATGTTGCCGATGATTATAAATCTGAAAGACAAGAAATTCAAAAAGTTCAAGGAAAAAATTTTCCATTTAGTTTTGGTGATGTATGTTATTAAATATATCTGATATATATTCGAAAAAGAAAATATTTTTTTTCTTTGAAAGTATGTTGTTAAAGTACTAATGGGTGCTGTTGATGATTGGTTCGATACACTTGATGAACGTCGTGTAACCGGAAATGCTCCTTCAAGTCGACGAACGAGTAAACATAAACAGAAGAGTATATGCTCTATATTGTAAATAAAAAACTCCAGAATTATCATGCGTTATTAATATAGATAAAATGAGATATTCTTTATGTGTAAAATAATATTATATGCTGACTTTGTAGTCGTCCTATTTTTTTCTTAGCAGTCTTCCTATATTCGCTCAACAAATATGTTATGTTGAAGTTTTTTTTAGAACAATTAGATAAAAATCGACTGATTGATGATTTTTTTTCATATTTGACACCAGAGGTGCAAAATCTTCCTCGTGCGCCCTCGCGCGGGGAGGGAAACTTTTTGAAAAATTTCCCTAATCTGACAATTTTCCAAAATTACCCTAGTCTGACAATTTTCTAAAATTCCCAGTCTGTGTCAAAATCAGAAGCGAGGCTGTCTGCGAGAGTACTGCCTCAATTCTGAAGCAACACATTCGTGGCAATTGAGCTTTGGATCATGAATTCTTAGACAAAGAAGTGATGTTACATTGGAATGAACTACCGTTTCATCTAGAAGATCCATTCATCAAGTCCCACCTCAGCAACTACTTCTCTCAATTGAAGGATAAACACTGGATTTTCTTCGAAAAAAACAGAACAATATCGTCTATTCAAATTAGTTTCACCTGGTTCAATTGTTTTGAACCGCTTGAGAAAAGAACAAGTAGAAAGAATTCGTATGTTGTACAAACAAAAAAATATTGCCATGTTTTCTTTTTACTTATATTTTGTGCCAAATAAAGTTGGTCTGTGAGTGGCGAAGAAAAAACAGCTTTGGGGAAATTTTTTGGAGAAAATTTCCACGGGGAGGGAAATTTTTGATTTTTCGGAAGATTCTGCACCTCTATTTGACACTATAGATAAATGATAGTTTGATGTATCACTTCATGCGAAGAAAATTGTCTACATTAAAAAAAGTCAAAGCCTAATCATGCTATTTTCATGACTTATGCCCCTCGCAAAATTTCGAATCGCACTATTTATATTAATGTCAAATAGAATTTATGATTTCACCTGTGTTAATTTGATACTAAAGGGGAATCAAAAGAAATCTAAGAAACCAAAACATGTAAATTTCGGATATCGTTTTAATTAAGAAAAAAAAAATCATCAATCAATTAATTGTTAATCTAGTTGATCTGAAAGTCAGACATTATATGTGTGTTTGTTTTCCTTTTGCTTTTAAGAATATTTGTGTATGTATGTTCTTGAAATTTTTATGTTGTGCAGTATGTATCCACAAAGCTCGTAATTTCACTTTTTTTAAATTGATAATTGTTAATCGAACGAAAAAAAACAAAAGATAATTAATGATAACTATGTGTAAACTAATAAAAATATGTAATCGTAAAAATAAATTTATAGCCATTTATTCATAAACAACTAGCGTTTTCATTAGAGATTTTACCGTGTGGAAATTTAAAATATTAGAATACATATGTCATTGAGATCTCTATTTAAACGTTCTTAAGCATTCTAATCATTTATCCTCAGTTATCAAGAATCAGAGATGGACGAGTCAGCAAAAACGTCGCACCGTCACCGCTCCGTTGATAAAGTTCCGCACCGCCACTGCCCCGCCTGTTCAACCTTGAAACCGTCACCGTCCCGCCCCACCCCACCCCGTTCAAAATGTTTTCAAAAACTGTTTCTCGACAAATTTTTCCTCAAACTTTCATAATGACTATTTTATTTCATGAGATGAAAAGGCATATTTTAAATGCATAAATATCATTTCAAAATAGAAAAAAAAACATGAAAATGAAAAACAATTACAATAAAATCACTCATTTTGTGAAACGCACTTATATTTCCGAAGAAAATAGTAAGTGTATGTTTTAAGTTTGAGGTTTGACGGCTTCCCCTCCACTCTCCCCATCCCATTACAGACACATAGCAACCGGAAGGAGAACATTACAGATATACCCCAATTACAGACCTCAGCAACCGCGCATAAAAGGCTCTAGTTTTTATATAAAATATCAATTATTTCATGCGTATTCGAAAAAAAAGGTATTTTACAATTTAAAAATTAGGCGTCAGGATAGAAAACTTTGAAAATATACGTGGGTTCCACATTTTAGCTCATTTGGAGCTGTACTAACAAGCTTCTTTTTACTGATTGGTTTTGTGTGAAAAAGTTTTAAAAATTTTTAAAAGATGTCTCTAAAGATCTGAGTATATTTAAAAAATCAAGGTTATACAAAGGCGGGAAAACCGCGAAATTTCGTCATGCACCGTCACCGCCCCGCACCGCCCTGCCGGCGGGGCGGGGTGGTGTTACACCGCGGCTCGTCCATCTCTGCTAGACACTTTATTCTTTCTAACAAAAAAAAAAGATAAAATCTCTATGAGATTCTATTACAGCGCTACATCAAAGACAAAATTAATGCAGAACTTTTGCTCCACCCGTTATCAACAGATATTGATTACATTTTGAATAATTAATATTTTAAGTTTATTTTATTCAGCTTGTGAAATCGTATGACGACTGAATATTCTGATCGGTTTTTTTCTTTGTTTTGACTTTAATGATATATTAAATCATGAGAAAAACGAACGAAATAAGAACTATTGTTTGATTCAATGAGCATAGTTATGAGGAAAGTAACAGTGACTTCTACTGAATTACTTTTAAAGTAATTCAAGACTAACTTGATTGATACGCAACTAGAAATTTAATAGATGAACAATTCATACAAGTGTATAGAATTCTATAATCATCGTTAGAGTTATCAAGATAATATAGAGTACAAAAGCCTTGACATTAATTATTTCTTTATGTATTGCTAAGTTAAACTTGCATTAATTGATGTTTGTACAGAACAAAAGCAATATTTTCGTCATTCATAACTTGTTCAAATCTATGATATCGTAGGATTTCAGCCTTTCTTCTGCTATGTCAATATGTAACTGGATAAAGGATTCTATAGAACTAATTTCATGCTATAAAGTAAGGTTTTCAGTTGAATAACTTTTAGCTAAAAATAAAAGAAAAAACAAGTCAAATAAAATTTTTATATCGATTTCAGTTTGTAGTTATTTCAAACATCTGCTTATATTACAGAAAGTTTGAATTAGAAATAACTCATTCTTTCCTTTAATAAATATCCGAAACAGGAAGGACTATTTGGTTGTAACTCTTTACAGTAGAAATCATGCTGAAATAAACACCTTCATCAGAAAAAATTAGTATAAAGTATCTGTGAGAATCTTTCATTTTTCTTCAATGTTATTTGTATGTCAAATTTAGTATAACAGCTTCGGTACAAGAAAGTATTCGACACTTATCTCAAGGAAAATCTCAATATTCTTCGAGAAAAGAACTCCAAATGTTTTCCCATTGTCATAGAAAATCTTTTGGTTTTTACAAATTTTAGAGAAGAAAAAAGGCTTAAAGTGATGCCATCGCGAAACATTTTTCCTCATTTTGAACAGTCACAATCTGCAAAAGCAGGATATAATTCCTCAACAAAGTTGATCATCGAACATTATTCTACGCATCATCCAAATTTTTCTTGCTTTTTAGTTTAGATATTAAAAACGTGAGATCAATTTTTTATATAAATTCCTATCACGAACTTTTCCATCTATCGAAAGAGAAACGTGAGATGATAATATGAAAAGTTGACTGACGAAGGGCTGTTCTTCCAAACCTTCGTTCTCCATATATCGAAGCTCTACTGGATTGTTTTAGCATAAAAATATGTAGTCCCTCTCAGGTCATCTAGAAATTAGAATTTCAACTTCAAACTTAGCATGAACAAAGTTCTTAATGAGATTCGTTAATATAGAAAATTTCGAATGTTCAATATCTCTGGATAGAAAAAAAAAGCCTAGAAAAATTACACCTTTCTTAAAGAATTAATCTCAAGTTCATGCAAAATTTGAATTCGAAAGTCAATTTTTCATGCGACCTGAGTAGGGCTAAAAGTTTCTGTTGAAAGTCGAATTGTTGTTTGCTCTATTTTGACTGATATGATCTATTTTCCAAAAGAATTTAACAATATTTTTTCGATTCCGAATTCATTTATCTCTTTGTTTTTTTAGGATTCGTTCATGAAAACTGTTCATTATTTGGATTCCTCAGTTGGATATTATCTTTAATTTTTTTCATTTGATTTCTATACTTTTACAATGAATGTATAAACTGATAGAGAAATCAGTATCTTTTTTTTTTATGAAAAACAGAAAATTTGATATGTTATTATCCCTTTTTGTTTCCTTTCGATGATTAAACCACTTTTTGAAATAATCTTCTGGAATACTGTTTCAGTTCGTAGTACTTATGTTTTCTTTTTTTCTATGTGCATTGATCAGGTATAATCCAAAATAAGGATTGATAATAGAAAGAAGAAAATAATGCAATTTTATGACGAAATGAATGACTCATCTTTTATATTGCATCATATTATTTTGAAATTACAGTACAAAATGACACAGAAATAAAACATATTTTTATACAGCTGATTTTTAGATAACGACACCTGTAGAAGAAATTGATTTTAATGAATCACCAGAAGAAGTTGAGAAAGTTTTGAATCAATGATCAAAGACACCATCGACGCTCAATAAATCAAAATCGGATGAAAACATGTAAGAATTGATTCATGTATTGTATCTTGTATTATGTTGTTGTAAAACACGATCTGCAATGAATATTGAAATATAAAACAATTCTCTATCAACAGTAGTAGATCTGAAGACTTCAACAGAACTGCTTCGACTAAGATCTTCGAAAAAAATTTTATTTAATAGAGGAAAATAGGGTGTCACCAAGCTTCCCATGTACTACCTTCATCAACTTATATTCTATTGACGGAGAGTTCGACAGACAATTTGATGAAGAATGCTGATGGAGAGGTCAGAAACATCTCATTTTGATCCATCCAATAAAAATTTTTCTCAAAACCTTCGAACAGATATAAGAAATCTGATTTTTAACGTCTTAATTTTCCACAAATCCTTATTCAAGTGGTTTCGTTGAGGTCTTCGACCCTACTAATCCTGATGAAGAATCCAGTTAGTTGCGCATCTTTCTATTGTATCAGAGACAGTGACAGGTTTTGTTGGTATACGGTTGAAGGCCATGTCTCAATATCGTCTAGTTAACTACTTCCTTATTGCATTTCTCGAGCATCGAGTAACAGAATAGTGAAGAAATCTCTTCTAAATTAGATTGAATAAAACAATTTCCTCGTGATTAGCAACAGTAGCTGCGTCATGATTCACAATTTAATCCTGCACGAAATGAGCTAGCAGCTTTATTATGATTTTTTATTTTTTATTCACAGAAGAGTTTACCTTTTATCAAAAGTGTACCTCATTTGGATATTCTTTTATTGGATTTTTATTAAGTGGCGATGTTTTCTTGCTCAGTAAAGTCAAACAATTTCTTATTCATTTTTTCATTGTTAATGTTAAATTTTAGGATATTATCGATTGAAAAATTACAATACGTAACTTGCGATAAATATTTTAATTTACATTAAAAAAATTTATAAATGGTTTCAACTAGACTTTACTTTTTTTGGACGAACTTCAACATAAAAACAAACTGAAGAGGATTTTTATCTTGGAAAGAAAAATACCTGTTCTTTATAATTCTTTAGACTGTCTATTTTAGTGTTGCTCCAGATATTTTTCGAAATCACATAAACGAAACCTAATTTGTAATAATAACGTTGAACAATTATATTGTGATACTTGTCAACGGTACAGAGCTTGTTTGCATATGTTTTTTTCTAATTTTTTATATATTGATGTATTTGAAGTTTTCTGATAGATCGTTGTGTGGGTGGTACATGTGCAGATGTAACATGCAAATTTGATGATACTCGTAGTGATCAACGTGATAAGTATGAAAAATTAATTAATGGTGGTGAATGTATTGATCCAAAATGTTAGAGGATTTGGCCGAAAATCATGGATTTTACTCGGTCTTTCCAGGTACTCGTTCGCTTTGGAGTCAGGACTTTGCACATCTTGTAGATCTTGATGAATTATGTCTATTATAAAAATTTTTTTGTGTCGCTAGCTTGTTTTTGAGAAGTTCGAACGTCTCTACTATTACAATTATAAGAGACATCCTATCAGAAAAAATCATTATTGAGACAAATACAAATAGAAACGAGCTGAGATTTTCCTTATGTATAGTTGTACTCATATGGTAGATCATGAGAAAGTTTGAGCTCAAATGACCTTGTAAAGACGAGTCATCTCAAATATTAATGTAATTTTTAATGCCATTAATCATAGGTACTGCTTCAATTCATTTCTTTTCATCGATTATGTTTTATGATCTGTACACGAAATAAGCTTCCATATATTTAATTTACAATATAAGTATCCCTACGGACGTCTAGATAGACGAAAAACTAAATAAATTATGGTGACAAGCTACAATTATTAAGTATCTGAAATAGTATTACGACACTGATGCTCATTATTCAAACAGTTTCAATTCTATGCCTCTTAATTTTGAAAAGTAGCGTAATTAATGACATTAAAAATTATATTAATATTTGAGATGACTCGTCTTTACAAGGTTATTTGAGCTCAAACTTTTTCATGATCTACCACATGAGTGCAACTATACATAAGGAAAATCTCAGCTTGTTTCAATTTATATTGGTCTCGACAATGATTTTTTTTTTGATAGGATGTCTCTTATAACTGTAATAGTAGAGATGTTCGATCTTCTCAGAAACAAGCTAGGCACACAAAAATTTTTTTATAATAGACATAATTCATCAAGATCTGCAAGGTGCGCAAAGTTCCGACTCGAAAGCGAATGAGCACAGGGAATTCTGATGTTTCAAAATTTTTTGCCCACAAAATGGATCAGATCTGAAGAAACAAACATCACAGCAGTTGCATACTGTTGCAGATTTTCCGATTACCTGTAAAATGCAATGAAACAAAAGGAACTAACAACTCTTGTTACAAATCAATTGTGATTTAAAATTATGAAGACATGTGATAAAATATACTCGAGACAAACAATTTTTTTCTGTATTTTTTTATACATCACCAAAAGAATGCAGAGAGTTATGAATTGAATAAAATTTAAAAAAAACATGAAAATTTATTATTAAAAAAATACATAACAGATATGGATTTGTAGGACGGAAATGATTGCTTACAGGGGCGGCGGAGCGGTCTTAGTCTAGGGTAGGCTCAACTTTTAAGCCAAGCCAGCACCGAGAGTCAATTGAAAGACTTTTTTTTCGTTTATAATGGTAAGCGCTACGGATTCTCTTGCTAGGTTTAAATTCCGTAGAATTTGATAACTAAAGGATGGTCCGAAAGTTTCGACCCCTTTCTATAAATCGATAATATCTACAACAAACTTACACAAAGTTATTGATCAAATTGTGTTATTTTGTAGAGGAAGATGAGAGTTATCATTCGAAAAAAATATTTCGAAACACATAAATCTATTATAATGTTATGATCATTTTAGTAGCTTTGAGCTGGCATCCCACCCCACCTCGTTTTCCTCCTTTTCTTCTGTTCTTTTAAAATTCCTCTTTTTAGCCTCTTTTTCGAAAAAATCCACTTTTTCCTCTTTTCTCACGAAGAAGCAGGTCGTTGACAAAAATATTCATGAATATATTGATTATTGTTACCGTATCATACAAAAATATCACATAATAAACTGATGTGCTGATCAGTCAAGTTGCATAGCTAAGGAAGCTAAAGTATATGATTTTAGTGATCAACTTCAGCGATATTATATATTCATAATCGGAATCCAATTTTTGTAGTTCTCTAGCGGAAGCAAAAGCACTCAATTATGTTTCCAATATGAAATCATCATTCTCTCACGATCTTAACATGTTTTTGTGTACTCAAAAAGTGAGTACACTCTAGAATCGGTCAGTGTGTCCGGCCGTTTACACGATAACTTTTGAAAGGAGAGTCCGATTGCGATGAAATTTTCTACACAGTTTAGTCTCAACAATATCTCGGTCGAGTTCGAAGATGAGAATGATTCATCAAACCGTTCCTGAGTTATTGCAAAAATAGTCATTATTCCCTATGCCTTCCTATGCGAAAATCGACCTATCCCCACTTTCGTAAGAAACTTTTCCTATCATAGTCAAATAAAACCCCAACTATTATATACCATTCGATAGAGAATTTCACGAGCTACAAAATGGTATATAAAACATAAAGAAACAAGAAGACTAACTCACCTATTGCAAAGATAATTAAACGGGAAATGGTTCTGTTCTTGTCCACACTCTAATTGATCCACAATTAGAGCTCTGTCTTTCGATCACAGAGATGATAGTTCGAGGTTTTCTGGGTCGAAGAACTCTAATCCAAGCTCCATTTGCCTTGAAATCCTATTGGTTGAGCAGTAACCAATAGAAATCAAGCTATAGGAAAAAACGACTTTCTTAGGATAAATCAAAGCGAAGAGTTCAAATCTGAGCTGTATTCATCTCTAAATCCTATTGATTGAGCAATAGCCAATAGAATTCAAGTGTTTTATAGAAAAGGTTTGCCAGGATAATTTTTACGTCCACACATTCTAGGATTACTCATCCGTCTCACTCACTTTTTGAAGTACACATAACTCTCGGATTTAAATCTGAGGTTTCCACATTTATTCCGGTTAAGATCGACATGTAAAATTATAATCCCGAGCTCACTTTTCTTGGCCACTTTTTTCGGCCCCAGAGAAGCTTGTGATATGAATCTAACAATAGATAGGTAACTCGTAGCGTAGCGCATGCTTCAAAGCAAAGAGTTCCTAGGATGACTAGACTCAGTCTAGAATTCTGTCAGATTCAATGGGATTTGTTCGGCAAGATAGCTTCCGATAGTATGATAACATAAGTTGAAGATTTCTGCTTATCAGAAAATGAAGTAACCCCTCTTCCTCTTCTTCCGAGTTTCTTTGTATTCAATCACATTTTAGAGGTTCGTATATCTCCAAACCGTACACGGAGAAATATAATCGTATACGAAGAAATACAAAGTAAAACGAAAAGTGTAGACGAGCTTTGTTTGTCTATAAACGATCATATTTTTGCGCATACGATCACGGATTTATACGATCACATTACTGGGCGATATGAAACGCCGTATTTCTCCAATTACGAGCGTGTTTGCTTGACATGGGTTAATATTGACAACGGTTTGATGATACTTGGAAGAAATCGGATATGATGGAATGCAACAGCAACAAACAGGGGTATCCGATAACCAAAAAGTAAGAGATCATACAATCTACTCAATACAAGTAAGTCGTTTTATACAGAACCCAAGAAGATGATCATATGTCACTGCGAAAAATTAAGCGTTTTCGATAGCACGCGGTCAAATGGTTCCCACAAACCTGCTGTCTGGACACAGTTGCAACCAATGTATTAATTTATGTTGAGAAACGGAAAAATGAAACTGACTTGCGAAAAATGGTCAAAATCACGGAAGAATTGTCGAAAATTGAAAAAGCGCAAGAAAAACTTTCTCACATGCGCAGCCATTCGAAAAAAAGGAACAAAACGTAAAAAGGACATTTAATGAATTTTGATTGTTTCTATTTCTATATACCTACTTAGTTAGACAGTGATACTATACTCAGATACTATGCAGATAGAATATTTAGAATATTTTTCTAATGTTTTCCGGTTTTCTAATGGATAAATAAGCAGCTGCACAAAAATCTTCGAACAATTTGGAAGTTTCGTTTTTGTTTTTCTCTTTCAAGTCATATTCAATCTATACTGATAACGTACGAATTTTGTCGGATCTATAGTACTATAGTGCCGGTGAGTATTAGTTTTCTTCGAAAGGAAACTGGACGCCTCTTTTTCTCCTCTTTTTTTTCAAGAATGCTGGGCATCTTTTTTTCTCTTTTTTTTTACAAAGTGTTAGTGAGATGCCAGATCTATTTCCAAATATTTTTTCACATGATAACTCTTATCTTTCTCTAAAAGATGACGTAATTTGATTAATAACTTCATATTAGTTTGTTGTAGATGGTATCGATTTATAGAGAGTGATCGAAACTTTTGAACCACCCTTTAGAGAATTTTAACATTGAACAGAGCCTATCTGAGCTTCTTTTATCTCCTCAATCTAAGACGATTCAAGCCTACTCAAGCTTTTTCATATGTTTAGCTTAGGATAATTCTAACCTGTCCAAGCCTTTATCTGTCCCAGTTTGAGCCTACCCAAGCCTACCCGACTCCAATCTAGGGTAGGCTCGAGCCTACCCAGGCCTCGTGGCTCCGCCGCCTATGATTGCTTATCATACGAAATTTGAGATTATACAGTTGGACAATTCCTTGTCCGTTATATATTTCATTAAAAATAAATTGTCTTATTTTTTTAAAATTTTATTCTTTTCATTGATTTTTTCATCTTCTCTTCTAACGATGAAGATTTCTCTAGTCCTATTGCTTGTTTTTTAAAGGTGTGGGAAGGTAAAAATGATAGCTGTAGTTCTCATATTCATTGTTTTCTCAAATATTCATTATATAGGTCTGTATTTTTTGTTATATACTCAAATAAAATAGATGTGATACGGCAAAACTGAATAGAGTATAGACTTATGAGTGTTTTACATAAACCAGTAGAATACACGAAACATTCGGTACTACAAGGCAAATAATCAATTGTCGTACTCAGATGAGTATTTTCGCTAGGACAGAAACCATTCTTGAATCGATTCCGATGCGAAAATTTCCAATCCATTGGGAATGGGTGCAGAAAAACAGCATTATTCTTCCTCGTCTTTTCATGAACCTTTGATACAATATCTATTGATTTTCCGTTAGCATAAAGCTCGGTTTGTTTCCTAATAATTGATTTGGTGTGCATTAAACTCATCGTTTTACTTTGTACAATGTACAAATATGTTTTTTTTCGCTAGGTTTGACATTTCGATCGATTCGAAAGTTTCATAATCTCATAAACGATAAGTTTAGTTTAGAGATGCGCTTCACATCACGTTAGTACTATCCAGTTTAAATCGAAATGATATTGAATACGCCTAACATTTTTAGCTGATTGGAGATTTCTTCCGATGTTCTCTTTGCCATATTCGTTATTACACTGAAATGGAACGTAACGAACGAACAACAAGAGTATAAAAAAAAATCAGAAATAAATTTTAACTTAATCATTGTAATGATGAAATTATTGATCTGAGACGATTATTCATCAGTAGATATCCATGTTGAATATAACTCTTTATTGTCTAGATCATCTACTTTTAATTTACTAACTTATATGACTAACGAGTAAAAACATGACCAAAATTACCTTATTGTTTTGAGTGCTCTTATCGGATCCACAGCTGTATTCTATTCAATTAAGAAGCATGGCACGTTCTACCGTGGGAGACACAAAACGAGTAAAGTGTTGAATTGGGATTTTAACGAATGTATGCAGCTGCTGTAGTAATATTTTTATCTATCGTTCGTCGATTATTATTTGCCGTAGCAATGGTAGATGAGTAGATTCGATGTGATTCAGACAATGAACATTTCTCATTAGCACGATAATTATCGTTCAGTTCTTTCCTTATTCCAACAAGAAGAGAACAATGACGTGAAGACAAATTCTTTTCTTTTAAATCAATTTTTTAATAGATTTTAAATGGTGATAAAAAAAAAGGCCCCCTCATTAATATTCTTCCATATTTTGCATTAAAATTTGGTCTTGTCATTTTGGTCTCTTTATTCGTTTCTTCTATCTTCATTTTATACAAGAGACCAGTTAGTTAGCTACACATTGACTAGTCTGTCAATATAGGCAAACTCTTGTTTTTCCGTTCGAAGTATTCAGCGGAAATAAACTTCTTGCTTCTTTACTTCAGTGATGATGAATAATAATGTAGAAAAAAAATGTACCATGACATAGACATGAATAAAGTTGTGCGTCATCATGTTGACAGCAAAATACGTATGTTCCTTATGTCAATAAAAGATTACACATATTGCTGATGACGTCGAGGGTATGACGCTAATGGAAGAAAACAGTACACTACGGCTCTATATAAATATAAAACCATTTTTGCTTTATTTATCTTATCTATAACTATGGTCAAGGCATAGATGTTTTTCATTTTAGATATATATTTTTTTAGTTTAATCTTCTAAAACGTTGATGTCTTACGCCAACGTCGCCTCACCACAATATCCTAATATGCCTACTCCTACAGCTCCAATGCCATCAACCACAGAATCAAATTATAATGGACCATTTCCTAATGCAATGACAACGGCTGAAGCACGTATGCAAAAATTTGCAGAAATTTCAGCTCGATATGAAATCAGTCATGAATTTGCAACTCGCCTACGACAACTTGAAGGTTATGAAATTGTCTTTTTATGTGATGATTCAGGTTCAATGGGAACTGCTGTGGGTAAGTTATATTTCTTTTTTTATGTTTACATCAGCAATATATTGTTTCTAAGACGTAAACCATTTTATTGACTATTTATCTTTTTTTTGTAATAGGAGACACTAACAATGCTTTTGCTGTACGTTCTACTCGTTGGGATGAATTAAAACAAATTGTATCTATCACTGTCGATATCGGTTCTGTACTTGATCCTGATGGTTTAGATATCTATTTTCTTAATCGTCCTCCACTTTTACATGTTAAACATTCATCTGAATTGATACCAGCTTTTGCTCAACCACCCAATGGTTTAACACCAATTACACGTGTACTTCGTCAAATACTTCAAGCTAAACAGAATGAAATTCAAGAACGTAAACTTTTGATTATTATTGCTACCGATGGACAACCAACTGATGATAGTGGTAAAACTGATGTTGGATCATTAGAACGTGTTCTTAAACATGAAAGAAAACCAGCTGATAGAATATTGATAACATTCTGTGCATGTACTGATGATGATCAAGCTGTCGGATATTTAAATAGATGGGATGAAACAATTCCTTATCTTGATGTCTGTGATGATTATCGATCAGAACGAAAAGAAATCTGGCGAGTAAGTCATTTATTAATTAAAAGAATTTTTCTAAAAGAGGTCTATTATATAAATTCATTGTTTCAACTACTTTTATATCTATTTTGTGTTGATCGTTTATTTATGTTTGATAAACTTGTGTTGTTTTTTTATTTTTAGGCTCAAGGACGACAATTTCCTTTTTCGTTTGGAGATTATGTAGTAAAAATATTATTAGGCCCGATCGATCGATATTTTGATAATCTTGATCAAAAACCAGTTGGTTCACGCAATATGCAGGCATGTTGCTCTTTGATGTAATTCATTCAGATTTTTATTACTAAACAATAAGATAACTGTACAAATATTTGTCTTGTCTTTCTATTCTCGTTATTTTTCTACTCCCCCTGTTTTCTTTCCATTTCCTTTTTTTTTTTTATGTTGCACATCTTTTTCCACTCACAAAGGAGAATAAATCACCATTGAATAAGTGTTTTCTTTGTTATTTTTTATCTTTTTTTTTTCTGTGTCAATATGTTTGTTTAAAGCTCGAAATTATTGATTAAATTTTGATATTAAATTACTGATTTTAATTACTTAGCAATTGAGATTTACTATATATTTACTTGAAAAGAAATATAAAAGATCTATACTTTGACTAGTAGAATTAAAGATTATAGTTTTTTGAAAATACATATATTACATATTGAATTCAATTACAAAAAATAGATTTATAAAATCAATTCATATAAAATATAATCATTTCTTGGTTAATAAACGTATGTTCATATTAAGTTATCTTGTTACCAGACATTGCAGTAGTATCTATTTCAATAAATTAACATATAGATTAATTCCATTTTTAATCATCACAGCCACCGCCACCGCCACCACCACCACAACCGGCGCATCCCCCATCATCGCAACTTCCGCCTATATCTCCATAATCACCATAACAAGCACTAGCAGCAACGTAAGTAGATGGTAACTTTGAAGCAGGATGAGTAGGTTTTATATCTTTTATAGGACCTACGAATAAAGGAAAAAAAGAATTAAATTCAACTACACTAATTTGTAACATTATTCGATTAAAACATAGTATATCGAATATGTAAGATATATCTAATGTTTACAAATTAATGAAGATAAATGGCACTCATTAGTCATCATTTCCTAACTCTCTAAATCTTCTTCTATGTTTAAAAAAAAAAATTTATAATGCAAATTGCAATTGTCAAATAGAAAGAATATACAATCGTTTTTGTGTAGCATTTACTTACCTACTGATTTCTTTTGATTTTGTTTGCTGTAACGTAAACCCATGTGCTCTTAATAAAAATAGTATTGTACGTGTTTTAAACGTATCAGTTTTGTTCTCTTGCTTTTTATATTGCAATAAATTACGTACGTATGTACACTGAATCATAAGCGTATCGAAGTCAATGAACGAGAAAAACAAAAGTACATTTCCCATAATGACGTATATTAATTCGTCATATTCGAGAAGTATTTCATCTTGACGCACACAACAATGATATTTTCCTATTTATCTTTCATTCTATTATTTACCATGAAATAAACACACACGCACACATACAACAGAGCCATTTCATGACTGGGGCAACAAACAAAGTTTCTTTTTTTTTTTGACTTAGATTAAGAGTGTGAAGCAGAGAACGTGCATGAGAAACAAAACAAAACAAAAACAGATAAAGTGTGACAGAAAAACAACAAGAAAACAAAATTTAAATGTTAAGTATTCATTGTTGATGTCGATTGTTCATCATTTGCATCAAGCAAAGAAGATGATGATGAAGGTGTAAGAATAATATTCGAAAGATCAGCAGTCGTTAATGTAGCAGTAGGTGGATCTTTAGATTTAAAAATTTTATAACCAATACCAGCCGGTTTTGGTAAAAGTAGTGGAAGTGGACGAAGTGAAACTTTAGTTAAATATGGCGAAAAATTTGTTTTTTGAATTCGTTTAACATGTTGTTGATCTCTATATAGATGATTGAATAAATTAGAATATGAATATTTTTAAAATAAAAATTTATCTTACATAGCTTTAGGTACTGTTGATAAAGTATTTGCTTCACTCACTGCATATTGAATATCACGAGTGAGTCGATCAAAATTAACTTCATTTTTAGAAACAATATTTTTTGTTGAACTTTTATATATTGGTAATAAATTAGCTGGTTGTACTAATGTTATTTTTGATCGAATTATTGTATAATCTTCTTCTTTATTATCAGTATTTGTATGACTTTCATTGGAACGTGGTGGTGATGTATCATCAGGACAAAATACAGAATTTTCATCAGCACAATCTGATGTTGTATCATTAATTGATTTAATATTATTAGTTATACGAAGTTTATTACGTCGTTGTACATCATTCCATCGACGTACAATTTTTAATGTTTGATTTGAATTTGTTATCATAGGTTTCATTTCATGAGAATTTATATGACCATTACTATAAATTATTGATGAATTATGTTTATCATTGATATTAGTTGACGTATGATATAACTAAATAAACAAAATCTAGATGATTTTCTATTTTATGAAAAAGAGTTGTATTGTTTCTATTCAACCAATTAACTTGAATAAAACTGACTCCTAAGATTCGACAGATAGCTGCAAGGATAAATTTCTTTCGAATAGCAGACACTACATTTACAACACTTTTTCAATCTTGAGAAGAGTTATGCATTGCTTTCAATGGTCAGATACCTATATTTTTGCGAGTGTATGTGATAAAAATTTCTCTCGAAGATAGATGTTTTAAGTATTGGAATAGATATGTGATTGTGCTATCAGATTTAGTTGATGGTGAACTCTTATTACAACAAACAAACAGTAATGAATTTAGAATATCTTGAATGCACAAGGAATATTCTATTAAAGGTTTATATCCATCGAAAAGATTTGTTGGACGTACAGTGAATACTAAAATTATTCAACAAAGTTTATTTTCAATTTTCTTCTCCCTACTGTAAGCGTTAGAAAGAATCCAAATGAATGATACGAATAGAGAAAATGCTTTTCGACAAAATTATAAGGAAATAAAAATTATTATCAGATTCACAAAGATAGAGCCTCAAGAAAATCAAACTCCTAGATTTTCAACATCTTTATTTTTGGGAGGCTGATAATAATCGCTTATGACATGATAGATTTGTATATGTTAGAAAATTTTCGTGATAAATTTTAATTTTAGATCTATAAAATCTATTGATGTATGGTTTTTTTTTTCATTTTTCTATTTGTATATAGGTAAAGTTGACTTACACGTGGTGCAATAGGTCTTGGTTTAAATCGTTGATCATTTCTTATTACTGGACGATAACGTGGATTAAGTAAACGTGTCATTTTTTTTGGTATTTGTAAATCAAAATTAGTTATTTGTGTTGTATTTTCAATATATTCATCATCATCATCATCGTCATCATCATCATCATCATCATCATCATCAATATTCGAATTATTATTAACATCAGATTCATCATCATCATCATTATCATTATCATTAAGCATTTTATTCATATCAAAACGTGTACGTCGATGTCGACCACGTTGACTTATATTTTTATTTGAATCATCAATATATGATAATGATATATTACTATTTTCATTTGTTTGACTTATTGATAACATTGATTCATCAACATGAAGATTATTTTCGAGATTTTCATGTTCAGATTCTGATGCAGTTATACTTTCATCACTTGTATATTCTTTTATTTTAATTTTTCTTTCAATAGTTTTTTTTCTATTATATTCTAAACGTTTTGTTTCAATTATATTAAAATTAATTAATAATTCTTTTAATTTTTCAATTAAATGATTTGATAATTTTTTATGTTCACATAATGGACAATACCAATCACCATCGGGTACAGATAAAAGTATTGGACGTAAACATTCAACATGATAAGCATCATCACAATCGTCACATAATAATAAAACATCTGGACGATCACTTTTTAAACATACTTTACAAGTTGTTATTATTGTTGATGCTTGTGCAGTTTTTGCTGTACGTAATTCTTCACCTGTTGTATTATTATCTTCATCAAGTTCAAAAAAATTTTCATCATGTTCAATTTGAGATGAATTAGGAAGATAATCATCAGAATTATATTCATCATCAGATAGATAATCAATATGTTCATCTGAACTTGAACTTGAAAAACGAAATTCATTATTTATATTTCGTCGAGATGTTGTTTTACGTCGACGACGAGAACGACCAGATTTATTATGTGTTGTTGATGTTGTTGAAAAATCATTGGAAAGTTTTGTTTTACCATTCATTGAACGTTTCCTTTTACTTGTGGACACCTTAAAAAATTTCAAAAAAAACTTATGTTGGTATGTAAACTATAAATTTTTATCTGAACAAAAATTTGCACTGTTTAGAATGTTTATAAATGTATTCCAGTCTAAGTCTTGATCGGAAGGAGACAACTGAAGAGGTGCCCGAGTGAGTTTGCTACAGGAGGGAAGTAGCCGTAAAATCTCAACTTAAAACTTACATTCACTTAATTTTTCTTCGAACAGTATGAAGTATTTCTCTTTTATATAAAAGAATTTTATACCTGTGACATAGTTTTCGAAGAAATAATAGATGTCAGTTCTATTGTTGGTGCTTTTCGTGGTCGTGATGATCGACGTATAGAAAGATTTGTATCGTCAATAAATGATTCTTCATGTTGTTTATCATTATCTTCGATTTTAGAATTTTCATCATTACTGTTGTCTTCCATAATAATTTTACGTTTTCTACCTCGACGAGCTGATGTTATGATTTCTTCTTTTGGTTCATTTTTTATTTCCAATTCGATTTGATTTTTTGTATTGTTTAATGATTTTATTGAACCTTTTGGTCGTCCACGTTTTTTCTTTATTGATTCTTCAGGTTTTTCATCTTCAATTGGTGTAAATTCAATACTTTCTTCTTTTATATTCGTATCGATTTGCTTTGTTAAACTCTTTGGTCGTCTAGGTTTTCTTTTTATTAATACATCATTTGTTTCATTATGATTTAATATTGATTCAATTTCGTGTTTTTCTTCTTTTATTTTAACATCTACTTGATTTTTTTCTTTGGTTAATGATTTTATTGAACCTTTTGGTCGTCCACGTTTCTTTTTTATTGATTCATTAAGTTTTTCATCATTATGTGACATTGGTTCGATTTTCTCTTCTTCTTCTTCTTCTTCTTGTTTTATTTCTTTTTTTAATGATGCTACTGAACCTTTTGGTCGTCCACGTTTTCGTTTTATTGGAATATCAGATTTTTCATCATCGGTCGTTATTGATTCGGTTTCCTCTTCTTCTTCGTCGTCGTCGTCATGTTTTATTTCCATTTCAATTTGAGGTTTTTGATTTTTGATTGATTTTAATGAACCTTTCGGTCGTCCACGTTTTTTCTTTATTGATTCATCAGGTTTTTCATCATCATTCAATATTGGTTCAATATCTTCGTCTTCTTTCATATCTATTACAGGAGGTAAATAACATTTTTCAAATTCGTCGGAAAGTGGCAAAGAAGAAAATGGCTCATAATCAATTGTCCAGTCTAAAGAAAAAAATAATAAATTATTATCAAATGTAAAATTTCATGAGAAATCTTTGGATAACAAAATAAGATGATTTCTGAAGGATTTAGAGATGCACTCTTGTTCAAAATATTGATATTCTCTTTTGCACTATGAATGAATAATTCATGCGTAGAAGAATAAGCTATGTAAACTTTCCCATATCAAGACATTTCCTACCGAGAACTTTGTCGAACGACTACTGATCTTATAGCGTATCATTGGTGAAAATTGTTTGAAATGAGTAGGAGAGTCGCTTAGTTCTTTGATTACATCTGCTCATTATTTTTAAAATATCTTGAGAAAGAACTACAAAATGATCTAATTTTTGATTTTTGTTTCCTAATAGAACATATTTTTCATTGAGTACAGGATTTTCTAATGAAATTCTTTTTTTTTTGGCGAAACCCCAGTTAAATTTTTCGCGAAAAATCAATCTCAAAATTCAAGAAATGGTTTCTAGATGAGAATCAAGTTCTCTTACTAGAGTCCATTGAGTCGAAAATAATGAATAGATGTAATCAAAGAACCAAATAATTCTTATACTCATTAGTAAGAAAAAAAATACATGTCTAATACGTCTATGTGTGCGTGATACATTTATGATGCAAAAGTTTATGATTTATCTTACCGGAAAATTTTTTTCGAACAACAGAATCTGTAATTAATAATTTAATAAAATTTTCGAATTCATTTCGATCTCTAGAAAATCAAATATATATATATATTTTTTTTAATAATATTTTATTTTATTTACTTAGCAACATTACTCCATGTTCGATCAATATCAACATCTTCACGAAATAGACGTACAAAACAATCAGTATCCTATTAGATAAAATAAATAAATTCATTATGATATCATTTAAAGAGATGCGTACCATAAAAAGCCAATAGGAAACTCCAAAACGATCACGACCTAACGGTGTTGATTTAATTTCTCTTGCTGTTTTATCAACAAGTGTATTTTTAAATGTTTGATTTAAATCAAATTGACTTTCAAGTAAATTCTAGAAATAAAATTTAGCTTTAGTAAAAAAAGAAAAATCAATTCATTTTCATATTTATTTACTTTTAAAATTCGAATTTTAACATTAATTTCAGCTTGTAAATAACTTGTTGTTGATAAATGATCACTATCATTTAAATCAAATCGAGAAGCAAACTATAGACCAAAAAATTACAATAAAAATAAAAAAAAAAAAACAATAATAAAAATTCGATTTACTTTCGTAATAATAGACTCAAATTTTTCTCGTTGAGTATTTTTAGCTAATGATAATCGTTTAAGAAGAATAAAATGAAAATCAATAAGACGTGGTGGAACTAAATCTAAACAATAACAAAAAAAAAATTTATTAACTAATAATCATTATATTAGACAAAAAAATTTACTTCGTTCTTGATAATTAATAAGATGATCTTCAAAACGTTGTAATGAATAATTTGGTAAATCGATTATAGATCGAAATTTTTCAAGAAAACAAAGAACTATACCATAATTAGGATCATTAAGTAATGATAATCGACGTTGATCTTTATCAATAGTTTCATTTTTTGGACTGAATTCAGTCGAAAGATTATCTTCGTTAATCATGCGTATTTTTTGTTGACTGTTATTGTTTGTAAAATTTTATTATTATTATTATTATTAATTTTAATCATTCGAATTGATATAGATAAATTTATGGTCTAAAATAAATAATATTTATATACATTGTATTTAGTTGATAGACAATAGAATAATGTTTGTAAGAAAATGGATGTATTTTGCTTTCATCATGTATGCTATTGTCCTCGTCCGCAACCGCTTCCATTTTTTATCATCTTTGTTAATGTTAGATTATGATTAGTTGAAGAACTAGCGATTAAAGACATAGAATTTAATAGATGTCTCTATTGAAATTTCAATTGTAGCGTATAAATAAATATTTCAATGAGTTAATATTCTTATACCCAATAAACATCGATTTACGAGAAATACTATTTTAAAAATGATATACACTAAGACAAGATCCATTGTATTATCAAAATCGCCTTGAGTGTGAAATACAATAGATATAGACAAACACATCCTTTTGTCGATATATTTATGATGTCAGCAGGTTCACTTTTTATATAAGAATGGCCTTAGAAAATTTATTTGTACTATGTGACATTGTATGATGAAGATTTTTTGTCGAGTTATTTAGGGTGATTACAGTAATATATCATTGAAAATATTTATTCAATGTTTTTCGTAGAAATTTATTAACTAGAAATAAATTGAATTGTTTTTAGTTTGTCATATGTACTTCTTTATTCTGATAGTTTCTGAATCGAGAAAAAAAACTCCATCGTCAGGGACATTTCATGTTTCGTTGCACAACGTAAATATACATCACCGAGTACTGAGTCATTTTTGTTGCTGTCGCGAGAAAAACAAGGGAAATGTTTTTACAATTCTCGTCTATAACTGTTTATATGATTTATTAACATATGTAAATGACAATCGGTTTTAAGAAGAGAAATTTTCAGTAGAATATTAATTGATTAAGTCTAATCTTTTTGATTTGTTGTATGTTATTTATTTTTTGTCAATTATCATCCAATAGAAAGAACAAAAAAAAAATTTTTATTCCTTATCTTTCGTAAACTATAATATCAATATGCGTAAATTATTAAACGATTGCAATCAAAGTTCTGATTACTGTAAGTATTACGTTGCCTATTGATAACTGTAAACGTTTATGAATATCATTATAAAACATAAGGAGAAAAAAAACAGTATCTTACTTTTCGTTGTCTTACCTGTATGACATTTAAATATTGTAGCAATTATAAATATTGATTCAGTCTTCATTTAAAATATCACAACAACAATTTAGTTTAAATACGTCCTTATCGATTAACATATTTATTTATAAGCATGGGAGTGAGCACTTCTATAGAACATTCTACTGATAAACAATCTGAAAAATATGGAATATCCATCAACGATGACGATGTAGAAGTATATCTTCGAAACTTGCTTTAAATTCATCTCTATATTTATGTCTCTCTTAGGTTTTAACAGGAATTTCATCCTATGATCTTCTTTGTTTGGGTGTTGGTAAAGGTGCTACTGCAGTCTATTCAAATCAAGCGAGTAGTTCATTTGCTCTTCTACATCGATCAACAAACGAATGTATTCTTCTCATTGATATCGGTCTTGGTTCAATTTTTGCACTTCAAAAATATTTAAAAAATCCTAATATTAAACCTCGACAAATATTCGTTTCTCATAATCATACAGATCATAGTGGAGAATTACCTGTATATATTGCTAATGAAGCTTTAAAATCTATCGTTTGTATTTATTGTTATATAGGCATTCAACCTCGTTTACGTCAAAATCGTTGTGCTGAACTTGATTCATCAACAACAGATCTTTTTCATAATGTAAAATGGATTATGTGTGATGAATTACAAGATGTTGAACTTGATTCAGGAGATCCAAATTCGAAATTAAAAATACGTGTTCAACGAAGTCAACATAGTGAATTATGTGCTGGTTTTATTCTTTATGAAAATGATCAACCAATTTTGAGTTTTTCAGGAGATTCTGGTTTCAATGTACCATTTTATAAATTTCTTTGGATGGCACCAACAATTTTAGTTGATGGTCGTGCAACAAGTACATATGAACATGCTAGTTTTGATGAAATTTTAAATTTTTACAATACAATAGGTGAACAACGACAAGTTTTTGTCTATCATTATGGTCTTGAAAATGAAAAACCAACATTTCCTATTGCTTCTATATCAGCTATATCACCTGGTCAAAGTATACAATTAATGCTACCTCAGTAAATCATTTATCATTATCTTGAATGTATAAACACTTATTATTTTTGCGCTTGTATAGGAATATAGTACAAACAGAAAAAATGAAGAAATAATATGAAATATAAATGATAGAAAAAAAAACGATCAAATTAATTTCTCATTTTCGTAGAATCAAATATTTTGCTGTTGTGTTTCTTCAACTAGCCGAATAAATGTACTGAGTTCAAGGTACTCTGCTAAGAATTTGTCTCAGTGCATAGGAACTGATCAGGTACTCCCTCGGGTATTTGTTCAGTTTATATAGCATTTTATGAGAAAATTTTCAAGAAGTTACTCGAGTGAATATTTACAAGCATTTCTAGGTCAAGTACTCAAAAAGACAAAAGTGCCCCTAAGGCATTGAAATACTCAAAAGCCTCTATCACATAACGGTAGCAGAGTACTTTGAATACATTTATCAGGCCAATTATTAATTTTAATGCGAAGCCTTCAAATACAGGCAGTCGTTTATGAATGAATATTTATTTTTCTCTCAATGAGCTAAACTATTAAACGCATATCTAAATTGCTTGTGACATTCTTTATAAAAATTTTTATTTTATGGAAATTTAAGAAAAGACATATGCTTAGCTGGATAATGTGTTATTTTCTGTGATTAGAATTTAAATTTTCTTGAACAGCGGGAGCAACTTTGGTTTTTATGTAAAGCAATCATTCATTCATAAACTTATTAATTGTCAATCAATCATAGCATTGATTTCCTATTATAAAAAAGATATATATCTCTGATTAATATCGTTTATTTACTTGTGAATGAAATCAAGAATGATGATACATATTTCTGTTTCATTTTTTTCTTGTGAAAATATCTATCAAATATTCTCAAACAATCCTTTTTCCAATATACCAAAAAACTTCGAAAAATTGTTTTTGCTTCATTATTTTTTTTTAAATATTCTAAATTTTTCAGTTCAATCACTAAAATCGAAATCAAATCATAATATGACTTTAATTTCTGTCGAACATGCTGCTATTGTATTTAATGTAGATGATTGAATAAATATTGATTTTTATACTCCTATCCATACAACATCTTGAAAGTAAGCAGTAACTCACTGTAAGTACACAATTCCACTGAAGAAATTACAAAGATTGGTATATACAATCCTGATGTGGATGCTCCAAACATTGCAACTTATTTGACTTCTTTGGATTTCCAATTTTCGGTCGATGAGTATATTTCTATTTTTTCAGAATTCAATATAATGATTTTCTTAGATACTAAAAAAAAGATTGTATCAGTCGAACATTTGAAATTAATATCTCAGACATAAGAGTTAAGGATTCATGTTTTTATGCTTAAAAGATCGGATAAATGTTTGTATGAATTTTAAATTATTGTTTATTTCTTGTTCTTTATTAACTGCTAAGATAATAAACTAAAAATATTACATTTTTGACTCTTTCTCGTATTCAGTGAATATAGAAAAAAGAAGCTCAATACAAGCTGAAATGTGACATAGAATAAACCTAATAAAAAACCGTACACAATTATTCTAGCTGGAATATGAATATATTCAATAAATGATCGACTTTGTTGGTATGAATAAGAGCTTGGTTATTTAATACGACTAATTTTTTTTTATCAACACCAACTTATGCATTTGGTTCTTCTATTGGTCTTCCTGGTGGTTTTTGTAACAGTTCTTCTAATGTTTCTTCTTCTGGTTCTTCTGGTATAATATACCGTCCACAGATTTGTGTCAATGATTGAAGTTTATCTTTATCTTTTTGTGTTAATTGTTCCCATGTAAATCGCCAACGCCAATTTTCTTCATAATCTGGTGTAAATGCTCTGAAAAGATTATTTTTTGTAAAAAATAAAATTCATAAAATCAATTATTTCAACATACGGATCATTCATTTGACAACCTTCTTCAAGATTAAGTACATCTTGAAATAGAATAATCGATGTATTAGCTACACTAGCATGTACTGCTCGAATAAAATCCCAATTAATATTGCGTTTTAGTTCATCTTCATCTTTTTGTAAATATTTAATTACATTTGCTTTTTCTTTTTTCTTTGCATTATGACGAAACCATGCAACTATAAAATTTCGTGAAGACAAAAAAAAAAAGACAAGATATAATTAATAAAATAGAGAATTTTTTTTTTTATAGATAAACATTACTTGTTGTATTATTATCATGAGTACCAGTATAAACAACACTATTTGGAGTATAATTATGTGGTAAATATATATTACCTCCATTAGTTCCAAATCCAAATTGAAGAACACGCATACCAATAAGACCATATTTCTCACGAAGATCAAATACTTCTTGTGTTATAAAACCTAAATCTTCAACAATTAATGGTAAATCATCACCAAGTGCTTTGGTCACTGCTGTAAGAAATTCATCACCTAAAAAAAAATTGATTCAATGAAAATCCGAGAAAATATAATTAGAAAACTTACCACAAGCTATAACCCATGAACCTTTCTTTGGTGGTACAGGTTTTCCATCTGATCCCATTGGAATAGCCCTAAAAAGATAATATTTAATTCATTTCAAAGTTTTCGAGTATACACATAGAACCTATTGGTATTAAAAATATTACTCAAAAGTAAATATATCCTTTTTTTTTTAATGATTAACTTTAATTATTGTATTTCAAGTTTGTGTAGGAAGAATTGATTTCGATAAGTAGAGTACCAATTATATTAATGAGAGAACAGATCTATTTGTTGGATCATGTTATATTAGATCTCGATTCAAATAGAGACATATACAAAAGTGATTGATGCTGATCACTAACCTCAATATTTCATTTTTTGATCAAACAGAATCATATTGACTAAATTCTTCCTTGCGGTATGGAGTGTTGCCTAGTAGCAAGTTCAGCAGCTCGATATCTTCCCTACAACTAATACTAGCTTTAGCTGCGGAAACAAAGCCAATCTGATGCAGAGTTCTTGAGCACTCCATGCACACTAACCACAAGAGCAAGTGTATGTCACAGCGTAGTCAGTATATTATCGAACGAGCAATCCGAGACAAAAACAGTCGTTAGTGACTTGTCGAGGGTTATTCCATGGCTAGTGATACTGAAATTTGAACATAGTATCCGGTGGATACCTGTCGAGCAATGTAAGCAGTCAACTATGAAGATCCTCGTTAATATAGAAATTTCATGATGAAACCAATAATAGTTTATGCTCACGTATGCACGAGTTATTAAATCAATATCGAATTAAAAAATCATTAATCCACTTGGAATGAAACTCATTTTGAAAAAATTAGAGAGGTAAATCTCACATTCGAATTGTTCTTGAGTAAAATCTGTTAGACTTTTGTTCTTTCATAAAAAAATCTATCTTACCAATAAGCTTCTAAACCACGAAAATGATCAATACGAAGAACATCAACTGTTTCCAAAGATTTTTTCAAACGTTTTATCCACCAATCGAAATTTGTTTTACGTAGAGTACCAGTCCAATCATAAATTCTAGAAAAAAGAAGCTAGAGATACTACAACTTTATTTTTTCACAATCAAGAACACCTACGGATTATTCCATAGTTGTCCGTTTACACTAAATGAATCAGGTGGAGCGCCTGAAATAAATCAAATTAAAATTTATCTTCATTATATTAAGAAATTTGCCTGATACTACTATTGGTAATGCAGTTTTTGGATTAAGTTGAAATAATGATTGATTTGCCCAAACATCAGCACTATCATAATCAACATAAACAGGCATATCTATAAATAAATTCTTTTCAAATATATAAGAATCAATAATTTTCTTAGAATGTTTTTTTTTTACCACCAAGAATGATAATTTCATGTTCATTAGCATATTGTTTTAATTGATTCCATTGATGAAAAAAAATATATTGAAGAAATATATGTTCATCAATAATACTCGCATGTTCTTGTCGTTTTTGTTCTAAAGCTTCTTTATCACGTTGTTTTAATTCTTTTGGCCATTTTGACCATGATTGATTATTTTGTTCAGATTTAATTGCCATATAAAGTGTATAATCATCAAGCCAATATTGTTCTTTTTTAATAAATGCATCAATTTCATTTTTTAATTTTTTTGGATTATTTTTATAATTTTTATATGCACGATTTAATATATCATATTTCCATTTCAATACTTTACGAATTTCAATTTGATGACCAAATTTTGGTCGACTAGATTCAATATCTGATTGAACAAGTAGACCAGCATCAACTAATTTTTCTAAACTAATCAATATTGGATTACCAGCAAAAGCTGATGTACCAGAATATGGTGAAGGTTTTTCGCTGGCAGTTAAAGGTAGAATCTATATAATGGAAAAAAAAAATACAATATAATTTCTAAGTTTTATTTTTTTTCTAACCTGCCAAATTTTTTGATTACATTCACATAAGAAATCAACAAATTTATATGCTTCTTGACCAATATCACCGATACCATTTGGTCCAGGAAGACTAATAATATGAAGAAGAATACCTGATGCACGATCAAGTTTTACCATTGTGGTAAATACAAAAGTAAAAATATAATGTAAAATTAATGAATCTAAAACACAATAAATGTCTTGTATTTATATCCGAGACTATTGCTGCAATATTTTTTTCTTTTTTTATCTCGGGTCATATGAAATCAACTGATTTCATATGTTTCTTCTTTCTTCATATGAAAAAGTCGTGTGTACTCGACACGTGCTATACCATAAAAGAATAGCAAAAGAAACCATTATCGATTACATATGGCGATTCTTGAGTAATGCACTGAATAACCTATTGAGATTTTTATTGGATAAATTTTCACAAAAAAATTCTCAGTCTTTTCTTTTATTTCTATTTATCATTGTTTTTTCTACAAATTGGTTCAGTTTTTATATGAATACTCGTTCAAATCTAAGGCGATGATAAAAAATTATTTGTGAACAATAGCGAAAATTCATTACAGATTAAAAACGCTTAGTGTCGCTAGATGACGCCATCATTGTGATGTTTCCATATGAATGAAACACTAAATGGCGAAAAAAGTTCTATTTATAAATCATTTTTACCCGGTTCTTATATATCTTCATCGAATTTGACTATCAATTGATTTGAATGTGAACCATTTCTTTCACTTCATAATAAATCATGTTTAACTTTTGTCGAAGCAATACAAGTATTTGTTTGCTCTTGTCGATAGAGTCTTATGAACAAGTTGAAAGTGCATTTTCGTTAAAAATGATATTAAAAAAAACAAATTGATAAAATATTAGAAATAATTCGATCAAAAAATATTATACTCTCTCTCACTATTATTGAATTTTTATGAAGAGTTTCTAATGATATTAGTATTACTAGAGACTTTTTAAGCCATATCATCTATCGTTAAGTGCCTCAGCCAATTTAATTACAGGGTGGTCAAAAAATGTCGACTTCTCTCTGTAAATTGATGCTACCTATTTGAAGTACATACACAAATAGTTGATTGAAATACACAGTCTTCTAGAAAATGCTTAAAACAAGTATCTGAAAAGACAATGATTCGAATTTCGCGTTAAAGTTATGATCGATTTATTGATCATGATTTAGCGGCATGCGTTGTAACGGATCCTAATTTGTTTTAAAAATCGTTCTGATTCATTCTATTTTTTTCAATTTTCAGCAGTCTTGTGAAAGAGCATCCAAAATCCCAGTAATCCAAAATTATTCGCCAGAACTCACTGCAATGCATATTAAGCAGCCTATATCTTACATTTTTGCAAAAATAAAAATACTCGTATAGTGCTTAAGTTATTAAAATCAATTGAAACATTGTTTTTCGGTAGAATTCGAGAAGCTTTACGAAAATATGAACATGAAAACAAATAAATTCTAATTCTCTATCCTATCAAATCCTAACGAAAATTAAAGAGAATAAGCAAAATCTAGCATATTTTTGATTGGAAAAAGGTACACTTAATTTCGAATAACCATAGTCAATCGATTGTTTTATTTGTTCATACACGCCAGAAGAGTTGTTAACATATTCACTATATAGCACTACTACTAACTTGAAAAAAAACCTAAGAACATGCAAGCTCATTTCATATTGATATGTGTTTTTATCTTATTGGCTACTAAAGTAGGCAAGAATCTACGTATCCCTCCTGAAATATGTTTTACCTCCATTGAACAAATTCATTCATCAATGTTAATGGCTAATATCAAGCTGTTATTATAGATTTGTAAGTCAGTTTGGTCAGGAGTGTTCATTTAGGTTCAACGATTTTCTTACGATATAATCTTCAGACATTCTAAAAATTTACGTCTCGAGATTAGAGAGCTGCGGGTTCATGTTTTTTTGGATCCGGACCCGGGGATCGAAAAAACTAAATTCTCAGATCCGGACCCGGCCGGGTCTAGACCCGATCCTCTTTTCACCAATATCTGACACCCTATGTGTACATGAACAAAAAAGGGAACACAATTTTAGCTCTTTATTGGCGACTTTAAAGATCAAATGAGTATAAAATTATTTCTGACTGTTTCTTTTTCAATTTTGTTAACTTCAATTGTTATTGTTATATATTTCCATTCATAACTTAATGCAGACCGGGTCTGACTTTCCTCTTAGGTTTAGACCCGGACCCGGGAAAAGCTAAATTTTCAGACCCGGACCCGGACCCGGTTGGATCCGGGTCCGGGTCCCGTTGGATCCGAGTCCGGATCTGGAAGGACCCGCAGCTCTCTACTCGAGATACAATGTTATATAGTGAATCTGCAAATAATTCCTCTGGCTTTCATGAATGCACGCAACAGTCGATTGACTATAGTTATTCTACGTTAAATATACCTCTCTCTAGTGTAAAATACGCTAGACTTTTATTTGTCTATGCGATTTTCCTCAAGTTTTTGAGTGTAAAGAGGACCAGAATTTATTTCTTTTTATGTTCATAATCTCGTAGAGCTTGTCAAATTCTACCGGATCCTATATGAATATCTAGTAAAAAGATGCAGAAAACAATTTTTCAATTGATTTTAATAATTCGAACACTACACGTAAAATGAACCAGGATCAAGTGTTCGATCTGTGTAACTCTTCTTCGTAGAACTGTTAAACAAACTTTACCTTGTGCGGCTTCATAGTTCGGTATGTTGTTGTTTATGATAATGAGCAAGCTTGTGCAATAGACCGAATACTTGATCGTCAGTGGCAATTACCCTTAAATTTCACAATAACAATGTTAAACATATATTTCAAATAAATCGGGATAAAATATATATTAACATCTGTTTAGTATCTATGATCTAATATTGTTATTATATCTTTTAATTGTCTATTTTGTGATATGCAAGCAAAATATGTCGGTGATAATGCTATAAATAAATGGGAGGAATATATTGACTGAGCATTCTTGGTATATCGAAAAAGACAATATAATAAAAGAGTTTGAAAGAAGCGTTTTATATCGTACATGGTGTAGAACTAAAATTATGTGGTGATGAATTAGTACCTATTTGTAATAATAATAATAATAAGTCATTGATTGATGCAGTTAGTTGCAATTTGGAATAAATAAAGGAAAGAAGTGCTATGAAATCATTTGTTGAAAATATGGAGGGAGTGCTAATCGATCGAAAGGTAAAAGATCGAAGGAAAAAATTTCGACAAAAAAAAGCCCGAAAAAAAAACATTGAATGAGCAAAATCTCGAAATGCAGAATGTCGAACTACAAAATCTCGAAAGGTAAAATATCGAATATGGAAAATCTCGAAAGTTCATAAAACAATCAATAAGAGTAGATTTCTACTGGAAACCATCTTTCATTACAAAGGTCCCAGCCGAACTCCATTGACTGATGAGTCACATTTTTTCAAGTGTCAGTGCCGGTTTGAATGTATTTTCGACCATCAGCGAGTTTGGGTGTCGGTCTTGATAATAGCAGGCTTGAATGTGAGCTGTTAGTTTACTCACATCCAATAATCATGCTCGATACCGACATCCATACCCTAATCGTCAAGATCTCAAAATGCGGAAGTTGATTCGTAAGGAAGTCTTCCAAGTTTATCGTTACTTGTCAAAAGAATATGAAAGGGAAGATGCGATTTTCAAAACACTGCCGAACTTTTTCTTATGATCATGTTACTTGCCAGTTTTCTTTTGTGTTAATTTTACTCTCTATATCTGAAGCTGTATAACACCGCATCATAGTCGATGATGTATACGTATCCTTTTCATTTCTACATTTTTATCTTTCTTCAACAAACTTATGATTAATAAACCATGTATCTAACAATTACACTTTCGAGATTTTCGAGATTTTACCTTTCGATCTTTTTCATTTCGGACAATTAACACTGATTCGAAGAAGCCACAATCTAAAACTTAATCGATCCAAAACAAATGAAGAAAGACAACAGACAATTTCTAACTCTTAAGACATTATCAAAAAATAAAACTTCAAGTTTTGTTTGGCACGCTTGGACGAACTTTTCGATGTTTTAATAATAAACCTCACGGATCTTATAAGCTATCAGAGCCCTAATTCGAAAAACTTGGTCTTCGATTAACTGACCAAGTTGCAAATTTTGATTCGATTGGAAAAAATAGATGTTATCATTTCTATTTGTTTGCTTAGTTTCGTCGTGAAAGCTTCGTCGCAAGATCGAGTGGTAATATTGCGTTATTGAAAATAGTGCGAATATACATTAGAGAGGAGTTTGGCAGAGTCATTCATTTTTCATCGATGTATTTTTGTTTTTGAGTTTAATTAATGAAAGATGATATTATAATTTCTCATAGTCGAGTTAATATAACTCGTTCACGATGAGTGTTGTCGTATAAGACAGTGCATAGCGTTATACTGAACTTCAGACGAAGACCGATTAAAAGAGACATGTAAAAAATACAGCAACTTTTTTTTCCGGTGATTTAATTGACTACACTTGAATATAAGGGTGCAATATTTCTTTGTACTATGAAAGTCTAGTGTTATTAAATGTCAATTGTTATCATTTTGACCCACACCCAACCGATCAGCCAAATTCGACATGATGCTCTTGTCGATATACACAAATCGTGTAAGTCTAAGTCACAATAACAACAATTTATTCATTTCCTTAATGAAAATATCTATCGCTTAGCTTTTAACAAAATTAAATTCGTCATTATTACTACGACAGAGCTATGCGACCTAAAGAATTCGAGAAAGAAACACTCACGGTTGAAAATTGTTCAGAAGCGTTACCATTTAGAATAGAAATGTAATTTGATCTAGACTTTTGTAGACATGAGATTATGAGTTATAATATATACATAATTCATTCGAAATATGAGTCACGAGAAAAAACATATTAATCTGTTTGTTGATTAATTTTGACACTCACGGTACGCAGTTTGTGAATGACTATCATACAGATAATATCATAGTATAATAGTAATAGTAAGATAGGTTTTATCATTTATAATTCTGCTTCGAAAAACGTGTCGCTAGTCTACAGAAATGAGCAAGTAAGAATTAGACGGAATTCGTAGAGTTCTCATTTTAGTAAACATAGTCCATATTTTACACACTAGACAAATCACATGCATGAATTTATTTTATTAAATAAACAATCATCTTTTTGGAAAAACTCATTTTAATAAATATTAGCATAGGAAGAAAGCATTTTTTATTACGAAAAAAAGTGATATTTACCGATAGGTGTCAGGTATGCAGAACTAATATCGAACTAAACAAAGATCAGATGACAAGAAAAATAATAATAATAATAAACAAAACAAAAAGTTATATTTCATTACTTTATTTTATAGATTTCAAATCTTGATCAAAATGTCGCGTGATTTCATCGGTAGTAAAATTGCAATTATTACTAAATCTCAATGTCGATATATTGGAACAATTATTGGTAAATTTTAAATAATATTTATTCTTCTTATTGAAAATATCTACTTGGTTTGTTTTTTAATTAAGGAATTGATGCACAGACATCATCAATACTTCTTGGCAATGTCAAAAGTTTTGGAACAGAAAATCGTCTAGGACATTTAACAAATACTCATATGACTAGTACAATATTACCAATAATGCAATTTGCTAATAGTGATATTGAAGATTTAAAAATTGTTAATGATGATCAAACACAAGAAATTTTACAACAACAATCATGTTCAATACCTGTTTCATCATCAACATTATCATCATCTCAACAACCATCAATTCATGATGATCCAGCTATTGTATCAGCTGTTATTAGTTCATCATATAAGGATAATAAATCGAATTCAACAGTAACTAGTCGATTAATGCAGAATTTTCGTCATATGACATTATCCGATGAAAAATTGACAATACAACCGAAAACTGAAGGTACAGAAATTTCATAAAATTACACAGAGATAGAGAAAAACAAACATAAAATAGTTATGATGAAGGATTCGAAATAATATCTTTCTATATCTAGAAAGTATTATTACTGTGTAGTTACCTTTCATAAAATTTTATCCTATCATAGACGTTTAAATGAGTTAAATTTTGTTGTTGACATACCGGGTGTCCAAAAAGTCATGTTCACTTAAAAAAATTGAATATCTCCGCTACGGCTCGAGCTAACGAGCTGATTCTTTTACCAATGATAAAGGCATGTTCAAGCTTTATATTCATAAAGACATGCCTAGAGAGATCCTTTGTTAAGTATATTGTTTTCTATTCGATATACGAAAAAGTAAAATTATTTTGTTGAGGTCATTAGTGGTACTTTATAACGGCTCTCTCTAATCTTGTCCGCATGGATTTAAAATGTGAACATGCTTCTATTATTGGTAAAAAAATCGGCTCGTTTGCTCGAGCCGTAGCGGAGATATTTAATTTTTTCTTGGTATCGTGATTTTTGGACTATATACAGGGTGATCCAAAAATCAGTTTGCCAAAATAAAAATTGAATATCTCCATTACGGCTAGAGCAAACGAGCTGATTTTTTTACCAATAATAGAGGCATGTTCAGGCTTCATATCCATAAAGACATGCCGAGAGAAATCCTCCGTTAAGTATACTGCTTTTTTTTTCTATCTGTAAAAAAGTACATCTTTCTTATTGAGGTCAATAGTGATATTTAACAAAGGATCTCCCTAGACATGTCTTTATGGATATAAACTTGGCGCATGCTTCTATCACTGATAAAAAAATCAGCACGTTTGCTCGAATCGTAATGGAGATATTCAATGTTCTTAAGTGAACATGACTTTTGGGACACCCTGTATTTATACTATTATTTAATGTAGTCTATTAAATGTTACACAATGGTAATAAAGAAGGATGACATTAAAAAAAATAGAGAAATCAAATTAGCAAAAAATCGTTTTTCTTAAAAGAATGTTCTTTTATTCTACTTTTCATAGGACTTCCAGTACTTTGGTTCTCCTAAGTGAAAGCAGCGAGATATTTCAAGGAGAAAAAAAAGCTCAGTCATAAGAAATGAATTATGACTGTTTACAGAAGCATTTCAGGTCATTTTGACCCGTGCGTCGAAAATTCTGAGTTTATGATAACTTTTGCTCTACTAATCAAAATCTATCTATCCGGCAAAGGAGGGTGATGCCTTTAACGAAGTAAACATGTAATGGGTATTTTTTTTTATAGAAATTTTAATTGGCAAGTCAAAAGAAAAAAATTTTCTTTGATTGTCAATAAAATAAAATGAGACTTATTCTGTTTGAGTTAACTCTTCCTTAACTAGTACTATATCAATATGTGAATTAGAAGATTTTAGTTAGTTGATGCGAAATTATTTCTTTTACTGAACAATTCATAAAATACTTATTAACTATCCTAAACTTAATAAGAAATGAAACTAACTTATACTAATAATTCTAATTGAATTTAATTTTCTTTTTATCGTTTTATAGAATCTCATATACGTTCAAATTCCGGTGAATTAAATTCACCTTGGTCATTACTTTCTTCATCGAAATTGGAAGATAATAATAATTCAAAACCATCATCTCAACAATGTTCAGACAATAAAAGCAAATTTTTTGATAATTTTATATCAGATAGTAACAATAATACAAATCGATTTCAATCCAATCGTTCTCATCAACGTTTATCAAATACTCATTCAACTCAAACATTACGTGAAAATGATGGTCATTATAATCGACAATATGATAATGATGGTCATTATAATCGACAATATGATAATAATGGATTACCTGTACGACAACCATTTTATTCCAATGATGATCCTTATCCTCAAAAACAACAACAAAAACAAAATCATTATCAGAATGATAATATTCAACAGAAACAAAGATATTTTTATAATAATCATCGTACAAAAAAATTTAATCAACAACAATATATAGGTGGTAATCGTAGTAATGGAAATCGTGAAACATTTCAAGATAATCCAAATGATTATGATAATGATTTTGATTTTGAAACAAGTAATCGTAAATTTAATAAATTAACAACTGAAGATGAATTTAAACATGGAAATGATTTAATAACAAATCAACCTATACAATTACAAATTGATAACAATTCAATAGATGATTATCAACCTATATATGATAAAAAGAAATCTTTTTTTGATAATCTTATTGGAACAGAACAGTCAGATGTACCAATATCATATAATTATAATCGTTCAAAAAATCAAGATACATTTAACAATGATAATTATCAACATTATAATAATCGATCGAATGGTAATGGTTATCGACAATCAAATAATAATTATCGACAACATCAACATGGAAATGAAGGTTTTCATTATAAACAACATAACAACAATAAAAATGGATATCATTATCGATATTAATCATTCCTCTTTTTTTTTTGATTGTATCTCATGTTCAAAGAAGAAAAAAAACAGATGTTTTTTTTTTTTAAACTAATGATCTCTTTTGATTTTCATTCCGTTTGTTTCTTTTGTATAGATCTTCTCTCTCTTTTCTATATCCTTTAGTGAGAGTGTGATCTTATGTTTCGTTCTGTTTTCTTTGTTTCTGGCAATAAGAAAAACTAGGTATGTATGTGTACAGGTCGTCGCGCCCATGACAGATATATTGCCGATTGACATTTTTTTTTTTGTAGTTTCATCTCTATTGTTTGTTTATTCATTTATTTCTACTTCTTTTTTTCTCTAAACCAACCATGTAAACACACACACACACACACATGGATTTTTGTTGGCTTTTTTAACTTGAAAAGACATATTCTTCGTTTTTGAAAACATCAAAGAAAGTTTGTATTCTATTAATCATCATTATTGTTCTAGTTTGTCTTTTCTATTTGTGCATTTTTTTTCACAGGTGTATATGTGTGTGTGTATGATTAAGAGAAACAAATCTTGCACAATGCAACCTACTCAGGTGAATTAGAAGCCTTGGCAAGAAAGACAAAAAAAGGATCATAATAAAACAAAAAAATAGTCATATGCATCATTCAACATACAAAAAAAAATCTAATTACTTTCTTCTATATAACGATAGTAAAAAATCGATTAATTTTGTTCAAATAAACGTTACATTTCTATATAAACATAAAATATACAGTAATCAATCTAATATATGATGACAATTCAATAGAATAATGGACTAGCGAAACCTTAAGAATGTATTGTACATAAAAGACAATATATAGATAAGAACATTATGAATATAAATGTGCTATATAAAAAGAAAAAGAAATAATATCAAGGAAATCACACTACATAATTGCTATACCTTGTACACAACAAAATATATCTTTACATGAAGAATATGTCATACAGTAATCCTAAAAAAGAAAAGTTTTTCTTTTCTGACAATAGTTTTTTCGTGTACTCCATCGCAGGAGATTATAATTTGGAAAATTTTTCATTTATGAAAATGAATAGTGACATCTTATATTTGGCATGAACTTGAAATACATATATATCATGTATTATACTTTAATAAGGTTTTTAATTTCATGTAGAGGAAATTGGTGTGTTTGATGTTCTTATTTAGCTCTTTAAGTATTATGACTCTGTCCGTGAGAGAAATTACTACAAGTTTTTATATTTAAAATACTCATAGTACAATATTAATATTTTCATCAAAACTATTTTGAAATTCAGAAAACTATTATCGGAATTTTAAAAAAAGGCTATCGGACAAAATGCTTATAACTTTTGGACGAAGATAGCTAGAGCCCTGCGATTTTCACCATTCGAAAGGGGGAGACAAGGGGACGCCTTTTCCTCCAATATTGTATAGGACGAAATCATTTAAAAACCAGTCATTTTTACAAAATATCGAAAAAATGTATAAAAACGATCTGTCATTCAGATGAAATTTTGGTTCTGACATCTGATCTAGATAGAGAAACTTCAGATGTATAGTTCAAGATATAATTCGAATGATTATCTTTCCACCTCCTAATGTTGAACAAATAAATTTGTCTATTCAATCGCATGAAAACCATAGAGTTCTTTTAATTTTTAAGCGTATTTTCTTACTTTTCGTCAAAATTTCATCTGAATGACAGATCGTTTTTATACATTTTTTTGATATTTTGTAGAAATGACTGATTTTTAAATGATTTCGTCCTATACAATATTGAAGGAAAAGGCGTCCCCTTGTCTCCCCTTTCGAATGGTGAAAACCGCAGGGCTCTAGCTATCTTCGTTCAAAAGTTATAAGCATTTTGCCCGATAGCTTTTTTTTAAAATTCCGATAATAGGTTAATTCAAGATGACATACATGTTATTTATAAAATATTCTCATGACAATTATAAAAATAATTTCTTCTCGATTACATATAGAAGGTTATTTTAAAATAAACATTCATGATTGAAAGGTGTGATTCTTTATCGTTTGGGTATATCAAATGATACTTTCCTTCCTAATGATTTATTCATTTTTTAGTTTGTTCTCCGTGAATCAGTATCATAGTGATCAATGATAAAAACTCAAGATATGTGACGTTAGAATCAGTTCGAGTTTTGAATATTTCACTCCACTCAGAAGAATTACGAGATTCATACAACTGTAAGGATTGTTCATCATTGAAATTATATATCATTGTTTCCTTTTATTTTGCTTTCAAATAATTGTTGATATGTTGTCAAAATATTAGTAAATTTTGAACTATGTCACAACTCATATATGTATATATAATTGAATAACAACAATAGACAATTATCGATAGACAATAACAATAAACGGTTTTATATTTGTGAAACAAAATTTAATTATCCTAATACACCTTTATAATATAATATTTAGCAATTGTAAGGATCATCTATAATGTCATCAGCAATTAAAGACATTCCTACATTTAGTATAACTATATTTTAATCACTGAAATCAACTACATTTTGTAGATAAGTTAATAAATGACTAATCGATGTATTTTATTGTCAATGACATTGATATGTAGTACAAAATATTACTATTTATTGCATCAATAATTTTTATATACGAATCTTGAATAATAAAATACGCCATTATCTTGTGTTGTCAAATAATTATTAATGGGAAAAATATCTTGTAATATTAATCAAGAGAATAAAATCAAATATAGAAAAAAAAATTCATTATTTAAATTGGAACTTTACTTGATACTTTTGTTTTTAATTTAATATATGTGTGTGAAGAAATAATCAAAAAATTAATTTTCTATGTTTCTATGAAAATTTTATTTTTTTGTTTCAGTTTATCATTCAATCAATAAAATGACTCGTTCTCTTTATTTGAACAAGGTCGAATTTTTTTCTATGTATATAAGGTAAAAGAGCGTATTTATTCATCCATGAAGGACTGAACATATCTTAAACTTCTGTTTTTTTTTTTTTGCTATGCCAAAATGATTAAATATCTAGAGTTATCCTAAACAAAAAAAGAAATTATTTTCATAATATTTATGATAAAAACTAAAATAAATTCAATTTTTTTTTGAATAAATCAATCAACATTTTCATTGAATATAAATATCTATATACCAAAATATATTAATCATCGTTAATGAAAACTAAAACCTTGTTTATAATGCATATAACTAAAGGCTATGACCTTGCCTTTTTTATAAGTATAAACTACATGGTTTCGACTCGTTTGTTTTCTTTTTTAGTTTCATATATCACCGTCATAAAGTATCATTAATTTGCACTTATCGATTATCATTATGGTAGACTCTAGTTTAATAACTGATGAAGAATCAACTTATAATAATTTATCAGATTTGAGTACATCTGATAATGAAGAAACAACTACAGCAGATTATCAAGAAGATTCATATTCAACTTCAGTTTCAGCACGTATAAGTTCAACATTAAGTTCTCAATATATTTATCGATCACATCAAACAAATATTCAATCATATGATGATATTCCATTTGAATCATCTATTGAACCTGATCAATCTGATTTCGTAAATCATGATAATTTTTCATCTGATATAAATATAGCAAATCAACGAACAATAAGTAGCAATTCCGATATATTTTCAACAACAAAAACAATTCTTGCACAAGCACTTCCAGAAACACTTGCAGCACCACCAGGATGGTATAGTGAATTATTTGATTCATTTTTAACTATTTCACTTGAAATGGAATCAAATTTAAATATTAATAATAATAATAATAATAATATAAATTTTATTGAAGAAAATGAAGATTATCAAACTTTAAATATGATGGATGCTCCTCCAATGATTTTTTCTTCAACTGATGAATATAATCGAAGAATTAATGAAATATCATCATCAACTATATTTCCATCAACAGCTTTCAATACAAATAGTATTAGTGAAATGAGTAATATAACATTTGATGATTGTATAAGTAACGAAGAAACAATAAATTTAATGAAAGATCAAGAAATTTCATCATCAAATATAGAAGATATAGAATCATCCACACCACCACCGATTGTTATTCGTAAAAAAATGCCAAATAATAATGTTACATATCAACAAAATATTACTGTACGTTATTTACAACCACCTACACCACCACCACATGGGCCAATTATTATTCGTAAGGAAAAATTTTTTTTTTTTTTAAAAATCTTAGGAAATTATATTATTCACTTTATTTCTTAGGTGAAATTTGTCCATCTTCATCAATACCAGAACCACCTCTTCAAGTATAATAATTCATAGAATTTTTCAATACAAATTCTTCTATTCTATTATTTTAGATTCGACAACGACCACCACCTCCAGTCACACCACCACCATTAGTAATTAAGAAAAATTTATTTAACAAAAAAAAATAATAATAAATCTTATTATCTATGTATCTTTTTACAAAGATAATTAGAGAAAGACCTCCTACACCTCCACCTCGACTTTCTCCACAAGTAATTGAAAAATTATTACCACCACCACCTCGTCCGCCACGTCGTATGATTGTCGAACGTTTTGCATCATGTCCACCTAAACCAGCTGATGTTATCATTGAACGTTGGTTACCTTATAAACGAAGTGATCGACGACAAGTTCTTTATCAACGTGCACCACAACATAATATGTATAAAAATTGTTTTCTTTAATTAATAATTAATCTAATTTCTTTGAATATTTTTAGACGACCAAAAGAACCAAATATACTTATTATACATGAACAACCACATGCACGTATTCAGCAAGAATTTATAAATGAAGGAGTCACTCGAGTCGATCCTCAAGTTTATCTTCAACGTTATGGTTCTGAACTTGATTCATGGCAGAAAAATTCCCATTTAACTAATTTAGTTAGTCAAGCAACTCATGTTTTACCTCCACCTAAACCAACATTTTCAACAATTGATCCACACAGTCATCTTCAATCTCCGACTTCTTACGCACATGGATATCAATCTCCTCCATCTACTGGTGCTACAAATATCCCGAATAAAATGAAATCAGCCACATCTACACCTTATTCAAAGTCATATTCTGATGATTATGCACAATTTGATTCATCTTATCATTATTCTCCACAATCTTTTGATAGAGTACAAGAAGAAAACGTGAACAAAATGGTCAATGGAACACATTTATGGGATGATCATTCTTATCCACCAAGTTCTCGTTCTCATCTTCCATCTTATCAATTTCCATCAACATCATCGCCTATTCCTTCGAAAACAATTCAAGTGAATTCTGAGACTGAACTTCAACATATTCTTTCTGATTTAACACATGGCCAGGTGTCATCATCACTTGGTTCATATTAAAACTTTTACAAAAAAAAAAAAAAAAAAAAAAAAAACCGATTAAAAAAATTTTTTTTTTTTCATTTTATTTACATGTTACTTTCAAGAATAGAATAAGTTAAATATTTAAGATTTTAAAAACAGAGAAAAAAAAAGGAAATGTCTATTTCGGTCGTTGATTTCGAGGTTGTTTAAGTATTTGTCCTTCACCAGAAAATGGTTGAAATATATTTGTATTAGGTTTTTCAATTGTATTTGTTGTTTCATCATTAATTGAACGTAATGGTATACGTAAAAATTGTAATGTACCATATTCATAATCATAATTTGGTATTCCACGTATTTGTTGAGTTTGTAAATTATTTTGTTGTTGTTGATCTTGTTGTTCTTGATCTTTTGATTTATTTTTACCATTTAAACGATTACCTTGTCCATGAAATGGCATAAATGTTGATGGACTTTTATAACTAGTTGGTATTGGTGTATGAGAATCACCTGGTGTTATTGCCATTGAATTTGTTGTTTTTGGTGTTGTTGATATATTTTGTGATGATGTTGGTATATATTTTGGTTCAACATAATCAATTGGTGGTGCAAAATCAACTTCCATATCACATTCAATAATTGATACAGCATCAGCTGGTCTTAATTCCAAAACACATAATTCATAATTACGATTAAGATAATTTATTGCAATAAGATCACCTTTTGTTAAACAATTAAAATTTCTTAATGCTGTTTCTAAAACAGCTTTTGGATTTGATATATCAAGAAAATCTTTTGATTGTGGTTGAAAACGTGCAAATGTTGCTGTTGGTAATGCAACAGATTCAACACTTACTTCATCACCTTCTTGTAATAATAAATGATGCATCATCCAATTTGGTAAATAACATGTTGTATTATCATTAGGTAAAAATTCTAATACACCACAATGTGTTATACGATCAAGTTTTTTATTTTTTAATTTAAATAACATTACATTATTCTATATGAAGATAAAGAAAAACAAAAACATGAACATTTATTTATTTATTTTTTTTTTTTCATTATTCATCGAAATTATTTTTCTGTCTTACTTGTTCAATTAAATGTTCTAAAGCAGCTTGTGGAAGTAAAATTTTCCCACCATTTTCAACATTAAGACGATCACGATCATGATCAGGTAAAAATGCAGCTGAATAACATTGATAAACAGCACGAAATGGACCACTACCACCACCACCCATACCTTGACCACCAGGAAAATTTTGTCGAAAAAATGGATTAAAAAACATGATGACGACAGTCGAAAACAATCTAAAACAAAAACATCTAATCTCAATACTAGAACCCGTTGGTTCGATCTGGGTCTGAAAATTTTCGACTCAACCGATTCCAATGAATGTTATCGATGAAAGTACGTCAATGCTTTAAGCATGTCATACATTTTCAAATATTGTTAAGTTTAAATTTTTATCATGATTTAAAATACGCAATTGATAATATCATAATATTTTTCTTTTTTGAACACAACATAGGTTTTCATCTGAATAGTAGAACTCGATAAAACTAGACGAAGCCTAAAAGGATTCGTTTCCATACACTGTCCTTCTCGAGTTATGACTGTTTTACTGAATTTTCGACCTGAAATTGTGCCCATCAATAAGTCTCATGATCTTTAGAATGTTCTAAAAATTTCAGCCCAAAAGAATGTTATGTTCTGCAGATATTGGCTATCCAAAAAACGATCAGGTGTCGCAAGGAAAGATCAGAAAAGCGAGTGTCTTCAACATTCGATATCTCAAAAGAACAGCATGCTTTTGAGCTGAAATTTTTAGGACATTCTAAGGATCAAGAGATAAAAATTCAGTAAAACGGTCATAACTCAACAAGCGCTGTATATGGGGATGAACCCTTTTAGGTTTCGTAGTCTCATCAAGCTCTACTAACTGGTGTAGATATGATTCAAAACGACGCATTACACTTGGGGACCTTTCCTCGTTAGTCTGGGGTACGAAAGGTTGTAAATTAAAAGAAAAAAAAATCACAGAAATTAAGCCTACCGATTTTTCCTGGTATCAGTATAATAGCGAGTTTACGCATTCATGAAGTACGTGTATGCGGTAAGTTCTCCAATAGATAAATCACTTTTGAGTCAAGACTATGTGCATTATGTAGATTCAAACGAACTATGAATACTCTGAAAAGAGTTTGCGCTGTTAGTTTATTCCTACGGAGACACTACAATTTTATGGTGTTTTTTAAAAGAATGTAGAAACAACAAAATAAACTAATTTGCGACTTGCAACTTCATATAGAGACTAGCCTTAACAAAAATTGTTTTCTTTTATGACTGTTTCAGATCTTATTGTGGTTTCTGTCCTGAGGTATAACTAAGGTGATAGCATGCCTTTTACATTACTCACATAAGCCAACAGCATTCACAAAAGTCTTTCTTGTGAGGGTTTGTCTCTATGCAAAAGTATTTTATCAATTGCACAACTTCTCTCGTTCGAGAAAAATCTAACGAAATTAAAACGGATGTCATTCTATGTATTTCTACATTTCTATTGTAGAAAATTCGAAGTTATATCCAGTAGATGAATAGATTGTAAATAAGGACACTATGTATTCTATGACTTTCTGCCCTTAAACGGACTCTCCTTTTTTTTGCTAAGCTATAAACCCATGTGATCACTCTATTCTCGCTTACACAACAAATACTAACAATATATATATATATTCGTCATATTTTATGACGAATCAGAGAATCAATTGTATGACGTGTCGAAATTTCTTTCATTAGTATTATCTTTAAAAAAAAACAATATCCCTACGTATAGATCTCTTATTAATAATGAATAACCTCATGTTTATCTAAACAACCGATATGTTATGTATTATTTTTTTATGTCATAAAATTTTAAATTAATGAAAAAACAAATTATTTATAAGAATAATATATATAATCAATTGTTTATGAATTATAATAATTTTTGACAATAAAAATGATGTCGCTAGTTTAAATAACTATTTATTTACCAATGAAATTTCAATGGAGCAAAGAAAAAACAAAACAAATATTCTCAGTCATGAAATAAAAAAAAATTCTGTCTCATCAATACATCTACCAGAGGGAGCTAGAATAATATTTTATAATGATGAAAAATATTGTGTCCAAGAGGAGACGATTGTGGCTGCTTTAATTCCGTTTCCTAGGATATATGAATTGAACAATAGAGAATAAAAAAAAAATCAATCAATAATTTATTTATTGTCTTTTTTTTTTTAATATTTTATTTATTTATTTCAAGATATTTTCAATGCAAAAAAATCAACATCTTGTACGGCCATGTGCTGTTTTTCTCGAACGTTTAAATGATACATTTATACCTTCAAAACGTTATAAAGTCGATGCTGATATTATATATCGATCATCAAATGAACAAACATCTCATAATAATAATGATGAATTATCTGTTGATGTTCTTATGTTACCAAATAATAAAGTTAAAATTTCTTCATCATCAACATTTGAAGATTTACCTATAAATTCAACTAATCAAATAACAACAAATGATGATATTAAACCAGTTGTACGTATACGTCCACATCAATCATCAATTGATTCAAATGAATATGATTCTTCTATAATAACAAAACGTCATAATTCAATACGTCGTAATGAATCCTCATCATCAAATAAATATGATAATGATTTATATTTATTTAATAGTACATTTGATTCAGGTGATGAACTTGGTGTAGATTTAAATGATGATGATTTAGCATCAATAAATCATGTATTAGATTTTGATGATGATGATATGTCAAATTTTGATGATGATAATCAAAATTTATCACCAACAACAAATAGTAATCATGGATCAATTAGTTATCATTCAACACAATTGCCAGATTTAGTTATGGGTTCAATACGTTCTGAGAATGGTATTAAATCTGAACCATCATTTCAATATAGTGATTTATTTAATCGTAAAGGACGTACATTTGTTTGTGATGAACGTGGAAATCGTGTTGTATCAGTTAAACTTGAAAAAACATCAGCTAAACGTTTAATTGATGGTATTGAAAGAAATTTAGGACGTTTAATTTTAGAAGAATGTCGTCGTGGTGATTTACAAGCACATATTTTAAAAGTATGAACAAGAATTAGATTTTTGTTTTTTTTTTTGAAAAATAATATTTTGCTTTTAGGTTGTTTTTAAAGATGAACAAGAATTTTTTGATTTTAATCGTTCAGCTATTGTTTCAAAACATTCATTTAAACAATGTCCTGAAATGTATACGAGATTTCTTGAAAGTTTATTTGAATCACAAACATATACAAATGAAAGTGAACATGATCCACTTGGTTCTGATGTAAGTATTTCGTTTGAACTATGTTCTTTGGTTGTTCATACCAGTGACAGTTGATAATGAATGATGTTCGTTCATTTTTGGCTTTTTTAAAAGCATTTCAGTATAGATCGTGAACACAATTTGAATATGGCCTTAGAAATATTGTGTTGAATCGTTTTGTAGAGTGAATATTTTACAACGTAAAACGGTTGTCGATTTTTCAAAAACCAGTATCGAACAAAATTTTGATCCTAACCCATTCGAAATACGTTCTAACGAGTCAAAAGTGTAGGAACATGTTGTCGAAAAACCTTTCGATTGGCTATTATTTAGAGTACCATTAATTATCTATTCTATATTAGAACTTCAGCTTCCTATATATTATTTTTATACTGATACAAGGAGTATCAAGATCATAGATTTTCTTTTGTGTCGAATGAATTTTAGAAATATTTTTCCAGCAATATCACATATTATTATCTGATTCAGAGAAACAGAAAGTTATTAATCAACTTATCCAATCACTATGAATATCATTTTACTTTTCATATATAATTCATTTATACATAGTATTGTCTTTTCATGCTATTGTTACCATGGGAAAAAAAAGCATGAACAAGTTTTTTCAGTCTATTACGGCATGGATAAATGACACTACTACCAGCATCACTCTAATG